AGGACTGTCTGCTGGTCCTTGAGTCTCTAACGCTCTCCTCTGACACCTTCAGAACAAATCCAGGCTATCTCGGAGAGGTCCCCAGGCCTTGCCACAGAAAGCTTCCAAGTTCTGGGTCCAGGAGTGGGGCTGCAGAGGTCCCCCAGGCACCGGTCCAAGGGCCATCTGGTGTGCGCTCCTTTCCTACAATCTGAGCTGCTGTGGTAGAGCCACCAAAGAACTTTCCAGATGCAGAAAATTGAGCCTAGTGAGTAGGCCTGGCCTTGCCTTTTGGGAGATTCCTGTGAGGAACTTCCAAAAGCTAGAAGAGAAGCTTCTCTGTAAAGAACACGGCATGATTCAAGCATGTGGTTATTCTTATGTTCTTGCCCTTTGGACCAGTGCTGCCCAAGGCAAGCATGATCCAGTTCAAATACGCCATTTAAAATCGCCTAGCTGGCTGGGCGGTGGTGGCGCACGCCTTGAATCCCAGCACTCGGGAGGCAGAGGCAGGCGGATCTCTGTGAGTTCGAGGCCAGCCTGGTCTACAGAGTGAGTTCCAGGAAAGGCGCAAAGCAACACAGAGAAACCCTGTCTCGAAAAACAAACAAACAAACAAACAAAAATCGCCTAGCTGACATATAAGTTAAAAAGAAAAAATACAAGCCCAATCCAGGCTTCCCATCCTGACTCTTAGAGCCCTGTCACCTGGGGCCGGCCTGCCTCTTCAGCCCCTGCTCTCTTCTGCTGCATAGGCTGGTAAGGCCTGTGAACGCTCAGGCTCGCTGTCACCGCCTCATCCTTCCTCTTGGTTGCTTGCTGGCTGGTCGGGCTCCCCAAGATCAGGACTATCTAGCTCGCTCCCCAGAGAATGAACAATGCCCGGCATGTAGCAGCTTGAATCAGTCACTGGAAATTATTGAGTTGGTGAATGAAAGGCTGGCTGAATGAATGAATGAATGAATGAAGTGGAGCGAGTGAACTAGTTGGAGTTGCTCAGAAGCACATGAACTATCAAGAAGTGGCTAGTGAGACCCATGAGTTCCCACTGGATGGAGAGGGACCCTTGGGATCTAAGATAATAGCCTACGTTTTAACAGAGACGTAGGATGGCATTGGAACCCTCAGCTCCTCGGACCCTCTGGCCCTGCCTGCTGCCGGCCTGTCTGGTGCCTGTCTGGCCCACCACCCTCACGTGAAGCAGTGGCCCCTGGCTCACTGTACCTTCTTTGGCTGGGACTCAAGTCAGGGAGCCAGGTAGCAGAGTCAGCGTGGCTTCTTCCCACCAGATGTCATTTCCACCCCTCGGTGGCTGGCTGGGATCAGGCCGGGAGCAAAGTGGCCCCTGGTGCTAGGGGACAAGGCTTCCCTGGTGTCAGAACTCCAGGAGGGAAAGTAGGCATTTTAGAACCTACCAGGAGCTTCCGGTGTCCTAGTCACAAGAAGGCAAAGCAGACTAGGTAGAGGTCAGCACTAGACCAAGGTGGCAGCTGTCAGTCAACCTTAGAATGAAGCCGGGTGTGCGGGTGTGCTCCGGGTGTCTCCAGGCACTGGGATATGTGCTCCGGGTGTCTCCAGGCACTGGGATATGCAGTGGTTGTACACACACTCTCTAGCACATGAGATACATGTTACAGATGAGCCAGCGAACCCACCCACCTGGATGGCTTTCCCCGCCCTGTTTCCCAATGCCTGGGCTGTACCCAGACCCTGGCCAGGTTTTAAAGTCTCCAGGTGGTTCCCATTAGCTTCCAGAGTTCGGAACTATGAGGTGTGACAGGGACTCTGGAGCAGGTGAAAGCATGGGACATGGGGAAAAGAAGAATTCTGGGCAGTACTCCTACTTTGCGTCGTGAAGTTCCAGAAGGTTCCACTGTACACTGATGCACAAACTCTCTTGGTCCAGAAGAGGAAGGAAGGAAGAGAGGGAAGGGAGGCCAGCCATGTATTTTAAAATGTGAGAAACAGATAACTTGGGGGAGAAACATTGTAACGAAAGGTCCATGGCCTTACTATTTTCAGAGCGCTCTTGCAAATCCTTAAGATGGGCACTGGGTGGAAAAATAGACTGCAGACATGAACGAACAGTTCCAAAGGAAGAAACACAAAGGGCTGATACACTTATAAGAACTGTTGGCCTCACCAGTCATCGAATAAATGCAAATCACAACAACAAAGAGACGTTATCTTCTGCCTAGCTAATTGGTAGAGATTAAAGACGCGATAATGCCCCAAGATGACGAGGGTATGGAAAAAAACAAAACAACAAAAAACAGGCCCTGTCTTCAGAGGAGGAATGCAGATCCGGAGTAGCCTTTCCAGGGGGGCAATTGGGCAGAACAAGATGACTTTCACGGGACTCATTGCTGAGGAGGATGGCATGACCTTTGACACGGGAATCCCACTTTTAGGAAGATCGCCTCAGGAAACAATTATGGATGGCAATAATAAGAGCTAACCTTTATTAAGTGCCCTCTGCATGCCAGGTTCTACACGCATTAGCTCATCCAGTCCTCACAGCCATCCCACGAGGTAGGAGCTGTTCTGTATCTCCTGTAGTTGGCAGATAAGAAACACTGAAGCAGACAGACACTGAGGTCAATGACCTCAGGACACGAAGCTCACAAGCAGCCAGACCTAGACTAGAACTCAGGCAGTCTGTGTCCCCTGGATATGTGTAGGAATGAAGCCACAGGCACAGGAGGGTTCTCAGGGGTTGACTTGTAATGGGAGCATGGGGAGGGCATGCTAGGCACCTCCCAACAGCGGTGAGTTACATAAATTATGATATGCCCACACAGGAATATTATGCAAGTGTGAAAAGTGATTCTGTGGAAAAATATTTGTATGAATGCCAGGGAAATTTTTTTGTATGCATAAAAGATCTCTAAAAGGATATTAAAGAAAATGATAAAATTAGTTACCCCCTGGCTATTCTGAGAAGCTAGAGGGAGATTTGTTTTATAAAATATTTACTCTTCTTACATTTGAATCATGTGACTATATTATGTATTAAAATATAAACATCAGTGCACATATACACCTGTAAGTTATGACATAGAGCTTCATTCCCCAGAAGTACTACTGAGGGTCCCGAAGAAAGGTTTGAAAGCCCTTACTCAGTCAGACCAAGGTAAATGAAGGCCCTTCCTGGACCGAATCCATCCATGTCTTCCCCAAACCAGTTTCATTATGGAACCCTTTTCTTGAGTAATGCTCCGTCTTCATCTCTGCAGACATTTGCAAGTTAGGTTTTGGAAATGCTGTTTTTGATACTGAACACAGAGGTGAAGAGATTGCATTGTTACTTTAAATGAAAGGATCATGTTACTGGTCCCTTTTTGTTTAAAAATAATGCAGGTTCATGTGAGAGAGAGAGAGAGAGAGAGAGAGAGAGAGAGAGAGAGAGAGAGAGAGAGAGAGAGAGTGTGTGTGTAAAATCACTGAAATAGTGGATGGTTTTGTTTGCTGTTGCCTACACATTGTGTTCTGTCACTTTCTAAACTGAACAAAATGACTTTCACGGGTGTCTGTGCTCACACCTAGCCCCACAGCACATTTTCAAAGAAAGCTTCCTTGCACTTCACTTCTGGTCTCTGTAGCACACTGCAGTCCCCTCCCACTTGTGAGCAGGCTTGGGTGTCAGTTAGGAAAGAAACTCTACCTCTAGCCAGCCCTTTCTCTAGCCCACTGTCAGGGCTCTGAGCCACAGTAAAAGGCAGGGCTGGTGATTGGTGACGTAGATCGGGCCAGCAGGTCCCCAAACAGTTCCTGACCCTGGTAGACCCTCCCTTACGCTAATGGGAGCACTCAAACCCAGGTTCTGCATTTCCCAGTGAGAGCCAAGGCTCCGAAAGCAGACGCTAGCCGGCCACCTGCCCTACACGCTGCCAACCGAAGCACTCAGGCTGTGGCCTCAGCTCTGTGGCTGTGTGGTCAAGTTTCTGAACCTCTGAGTCAGCTCCACCCACATTGACACTTGCCGCAAAGAGCCCAGGGGTCAAAGGAGAGTGTGTATGGAAAGTTGCAGGTCCTAGGAGGGCCCTCTCAGTGCAAATTATTATTATGTTGATCCAGCAGGTAGCCCAATGTGCCTGCACCTTCCTAGAAACAAAGTACTTTCTCTCTCCGTGTGTGTGTGGTGTGTGTGACTTTATGGTGGCAGGGAGTAGCACAAGCAGATGGGATGTAGGAGTCGAGGGTATTGTGGAAACAGCCTGGGGTTTCAGAAACAGGAAAAGCCTGGGGCTTACTGCGCAGGCCTGGGCCCATGCCCACCGTATAGCTGCCCTGCATCACCCTTTGACCGCCCCCTGCTCTGCTTCATGTTCCTTCAGCCCAGAACTACCTCAACCTGGCTCTCACCTCCTCACTTTCCTCCACATCCGATCCTTTAGCTCCTAGCTGCCTGAGTCCTGTCCCCAGGGCTAGGATTAGGACTGCTCCCCTGGGCTCTGCCACCCCCAGCTCCCCGTGCGCCATACTGCAGTGGCAATGCCAGGTTACGGTGCCAGGCTGCCCTTTCTAGAAATGGTAGCTAAGTCCTCCATCTTGTCTTCCTGTGTCTTCTGGGCCCCCGCACAGGCCTGGAGGTGGGGGAGGGGGGAAGAAGTGAAGGGAGGAGAGACAGATGTTAGATCATGAACACTGAGGTCATGATCTGGATTTGAACCTCAGGTCCATTACTGACCCTCAGGAAAGTGACTTCACTCTTCTAAGACTCAGTTTCCCTGTCTATAAATGGGTTTAAACACTGCAGTGAAGTCATGGGGTTATGCTGGTTTTACAAGCGAATGTGAAGCTCTTGGTACCATCCCAAGGCCAAAGAAGTGCCCAGAAGAAGCAGGACCTTGTTCCCACTGCAGACTCTAAATGCGGGTTGAGTTGGAACTAAAGAAAAATGCCAGGAGGGGTGGCCTCCAGTCTCCCCAGTTCCAGCCTCAAGATGGGGACTCCTCCCGCTCCTGCCTGGCACTGTCCCCACCACCCCCACACTCACCTCCCTGCCTTGTACCCCGCAGCCACGCGGCCCAAGCTGAAGAAGATGAAGAGCCAGACAGGAGAGGTGGGTGAGAAGCAGTCGCTGAAGTGTGAGGCAGCGGCGGGGAACCCCCAGCCCTCCTACCGCTGGTTCAAGGATGGCAAGGAGCTCAACCGGAGTCGTGACATTCGTATCAAGTACGGCAATGGCAGGTGAGCAGCACCACCTGCCCTCCATCCCACCAGCTTCCGGTCCTGGAAGGGAGAGCCAGAGTCCTATCCCCAAACCCAGCATGGAACCAGTCAGGTCCCCCTCCATGTGTCCCTTCCTTGCTACACCCAATGCTTCCCTGACTGCTGAGCCCTTCTGGCCAGGCCTGCCCTGGTGTTGCAGACCACGGACAAGGATTAAGCAATTCCTGGGGCTGGGGATGTAACTCCGTGGATAAAGTGCTTGCTTAGCATGCACAAAGCCTTGGGTTCAAACCTAACACCACATAAAACCAGGCGTGGTGGCACAGGCCTTTGATCCCAGCACTTGGGAGGCGGAGTCAGGAGGATCAGAAGTTCAAGGTCATCCTCGGCTACATAGCAAGTTGAAACCAGTTTTGGCTAGATGAGACCCTGTCTCACGATGAAAAAGGGATGAAGCAATTTCTGTGTCTGAAGGCTGGAGGCCATTTGACTCTGAGCTGTCTGTCGTGGCAGAAGTCCTGCTTGTCAAAAGACCTAGCATCCATGCGAGAGATCCCAAACCTGGCAGCCTTAGGTGAAAGACCCCATCGGTGAAAAATCTTGGGGAAGTCACGTAAGATAAAAGATGGGGTCCTGACTTGGCAAGCTGCCATTTGTAGAGAGCTTAGTAAATGGGAAGAGACCACTGACTGACATGGGGGGGGGGGGTCTACCTGTGACCCCCCCCCACTGCATGAAGATTATCTTTAGTCCCGAATGACTAAATAGTATTTCAGGAGCATGGCGTGCACACTCCCTGAGTCTTCAGGCTGGGGAAGAAACCCTCAACTCTATTCCAGGCAAGGGGCAGGAGGTGCCAGGAGAGCCTGGAGTCTAAGCAGCTCCTGCCTGTCTGCCACTAAACACACTTCTACCCGACCTTTCTCTGCGGGCTCTGGAGTCTAGGTAGATGTGTTCCGACGAAGGAGCCCCTCAAGTCTTTTCTACCCCCACCCCCCAGAGTAGCTTGCAACCGCCCCCTTTGGAGATATCATTTTCCTCTAGCCCTCCAAAAAAAGGCAAACAAAGGTGTTTTTTTTAGAGACCATCAGCCTACCCCACAATAGAAAGTGTTAGGTGAACGTCCAGGCTTGGGCCACCCCTACCTCACCTCGGAGGCCCGCAGCCTGAGAGGAGAAGTGGGGTTCCGGAGCTCGGCCCCGCCTCCACTCTCCTTCCAAGACTTAAACCAAAGACAAACTGGTTACTTGGGACAAAGACAGAAAGGGGCCCAGGCAAAAAGTCATACAGGGAGGGTTTAGATGAGAGGTCTGTGGCTATAAGAAGGCTAATTCCTGAGGGAATTATGGTAGTTGGAGGGGCGGGGGTTGGGGTAGGTTCTATAACATTGGCAAGAAATTCAATCTAAACACCCCTATACCCCCCACTCCCCCCACCACCACCCTACTATAGTCTTGGCACCAGCCTAGAAAAATAGTAGACAGGACCTTTGGAGCTAGGGGTGGAGGGGCACCTCCCTCCAGCTTCTCCCCTATTTCCCCGAGTCTACGAAGTCCAGGGAAGGTGCTGGCCATTCCCTGCCGCACTGCTCCCAACATGGCACTCATCTGCCCATCCCCATCCCACCCAGACCTTGCACCATACTGCCTCATGCCCTCCCTTAAGATACACACACATTCACACACTCATGCATTCACACCACATTCACACATACACACACATTCATATACTCACACCACATTCACACACACACACTCATACACTCATACCACATTCACACACACACACACTCATACACTCACACCACATTCACACACACACACACTCATACACTCACATCACATTCACACACACTCATACACTCACATCACATTCACACACACACACACACACACACGCACTCACACACTCACACCACATTCACACACACACACTCATACACTCACATCACATTCACACACACACACTCATAAACTCACACCACATTCACACACATACACTCATACACTCATACCACATTCACACACACACACACACACACACACACACTCATACACTCATACCACATTCACACACACACTCATACACCATACCACATTCACACACACACACACACTCATACACTCACATCACATTCACACACATACTCATACACTCACATCACATTCACACACACACACACTCATACACTCACATCACATTCGCACACACACTCACACTTACACCACATTCACACACACATGCTCCACTCTGCTAAGGCACCACCAGTTCTTGTCTTTCTTTGGTAACTCTCCCCTCTCTCCCTCTCCCTCCCAGCAGACCTCATCCTGTCCACCCCTCTTCCAAGCCACTAGCCCTGGCTGCTGTCACCTTCCTCTTGCAGCTGTCACCTCGTTTTCCTGGTTCCTTCCACCACTATGCCAGTCACCTGAGGCCCCTGCTCCATTCCTTTCATCCTGTCCACACTGTCTTACCCCAGGCAGCCAGTTCAGCACATCCCAGCCCTCCACCCACGACCTCTGGGCTCCCAAGCCTGGGCCTCCCAGCAGCGCTTGGTACAGGGACACCTGTTGCCTCTCCCTGTGGCTTCTCAGCGGGCCCTGCTGTGAGTCAGACCTCTCTCCCAGATTCCACCTGTGCTGGGCTTTCCTACATCTTAGGCTTTGCTGCCTTCTCCCTCCCCACCAGTGGGTGATGCCACCCTCGTACGGCTTTACATCTCTGGGACCTGAGTCCCAGGCTTACAGCTCGAGGCATGGTGGCAGTTTCGTCCAAGTTCTACACTGTGCTGCCAGCTGAGCCCCAAACACTCCTGCAGAGTCTCTGACTCAGAATGCTCCCAACCAGCCCCTCGGCCCCACCCTCACTAACCCAGCTGCTCCTGTCATGCTCCTCTGCTGTGCACCCCCAGCCACCCCCAACACCTGCCCCTTGCCATCTCTGCAGGTGGACACGACCTCCCTGCCCTAAATGTTTCCCAGCTGACCTCTCCTCCTCCTAGCTTCTTACCCTCTCCTGCCATACTCTCGGTTTCTTCCTGGGCCACAGGTCCCTTTGTGAAGTGATCTGTGCAGCTAACCTGTGGATATAGAGTATTGACTGTGTCAAGCACTCTGCTAGAGGTTCGGGATACGTTGGTGGACAAGACAGCTGTGGCCCCTGCCTTCATGAGGATCTGGGCCAATTTCCAGCATAGAATCTGGACTAATAATAATATTATGATTCTAGTTCTCGGCCCCCTACAAGTGCCTGCAACAGATGATCCTTTCCAACCAGACCTCCACGAAATTATCCTTTCCTTATTTGACAGCCTTGGGGCCCTCCCAATCCTTGCTGGCCTAAACATCACACCATCCTGTTGATCTGTCCCTACTAGAGGCCCAACCCCTGGTCTTTCCTTTCACAGCCCTGGACTTGGGCCCAGGCTGTCCCCTATACTAGGAAAATTGCCCCTCTTGTCCCTGGCAAAGTCCTCCAAGGCCCAGCATAAATGCTGTATCTCCGGAATATCCACCCAAGCCCTCCAATCAGCTCCCACATCTTCTGACAGTACTTTAGACCTAGCTTCATCTCACCATTGAGAAATCGATCACTCCTCCTCAGGGGGAGCACCTCCACCTCCTCCCCCTGCTCCCCTATAAGCCTGGAAGCAGAGATCCATATTCAGTGTGAGGCTGACAAGTGTGTGACCGGCCCTCCCCTCCTGCACTGTGATGTCGTCCCTCAAGAGGCCGAACAGGGGCCCTATGGAGAGTCCAACCTTCTAAACAACTAACTTCCTGGTAAAGCCTCGGATTCATCTGATACATGGGTGACCTAATCCAGAGACAAGGCCTAGGTGGTAGACCCTTGTCTCAAGCATGACACGGCCCATTTCCCATGTGCTGCCTTCTGAAATGTCTCTTGTCCCACCTGTCCTGTCCCTGGTCTCCCGGCAGTAAATTGTTAGCTGTGGAGGAGTGGGCCATGGCAGGGACCTTCAAAGTGACTCCAAGAGAACTGCCAGCTCTCTATACTACCCACTCCTCCACTGAGCACACCTCATACAGGAGCCAGAGCCACGCACGCACGCACGCACAGCTAGGAGCCTCCTTTCTGACTCTTTTCTGTCCTTCCTTCCTGAGTTCCTCGTGCTCTACCTGCCCAGGCTCCATTCAGTGTCGGCGGTGTCTCTGTTTGCTGGCAGAGACAGCCTTCCCGACAGCGGCTGACTGTCTGTCTCTGTGCCCGCCAAACTGCCGTGTCATCCAGGCCTTCCTGAGCCAGGAGAACACTTGCCCCCCGAGCCCAGGGCACAGGCCCTCCCCTGCAGAACCGCATGTTCCCTTATTTATGAGGGGCAGGCTGGGACAGGCCCCTCAGGCAGGCAGGGGAGGCAGGCACTGAGGAAAGTGTGGGGCTGCCCAGATCCTGTCGCTGCCGGCAGAGAACCGGCTAGGGAGGCAGGACCGCAACCTTCGCAGGGGCAGACCCGGGTCAGCGCATTGATGGGGTGGCAGGAGTGTGCACCCTGCCTGCCTTCCAGGAAGGCAAGGAGAGAACCCTGAATCCTAGGGACTCCAGATGGACCCAAGAATGAGGAGAGTGTAAGAGAGCTCTCGGGGCCCATTCTCAGTTGTAGCTCTGGATCCCGTTTCCCTGAGACCTCTGGAGCCTCAGTGAACCAAGATGCCTGCCGCACCTGAGAGATGTTGTCGCCTCTTTCTTCTCCCGAAGGGGGGCCTTTGCCAAGCCCTGCTGCTCCTTGATCCTGGTCCCCTGCGCCCTTGGGTGGGAGTCCTTCCTCCAAGTCTGTGTTGCTCCTTAGATGGGCTGCCTTGTCCTGCTACAAACGGCATCCTATGAGGAAAGTTCCTTTGAGTGCTGCTGTGGGTGACCATGAGGATCTTGCTGGCTCTGGGTCCCCAGTGCATGAACTCTCTTGCCCTCAGCTGACCCACACACACACACTTCCCTGCCTCTCCAGCATGCAAGAAAGTGAGGGAAGCTTTGTCCTAGGGAAGTGGGGACTCTGTGGCATCTAGTTAGTTTGAGATGGGAAGCGGATGTGTGCAGTCGGAGGGACCTCCGGGGCTCTGCTCCACGAAGGAAACGAGTTGATAGAGGAGAACTGTGAGCAGGCACAAGCCCAGGGAGAAAGACCAGCATGAAGCAGGAATGACAGGGCATATAGTCAAGTCACTGTCACCACACTGGCGAGGCCATCACCACCGCAGTAAGGTCCATCAATCTGCAGCGAGCTCATGGGAATCCGAGAGTGAGATATTTGAGAAGAGGCCAATTTCCAAAGGCAGAGGTAAAGCCAAGAAGGAGGTGCTTTCTGCCCAGCTCTCCCCCCATTCCTTCCCCATAGCCCGCATCCTGTCCCCATTCCCATCCCAGTCCTTCTCAGCAGTGTCATGGCTCTTTTGCAGCCTTGGGGCTCAGGCCGGGCGGTGGCAGCCCGGCTCTACCCTGCCTGTACTCCAGCCAACTGTACATATGCAAGGAATCTGGTTTTTTATCCATCACTTAAAAAAAGGAGGAGGTCACAGCATGTACAGACACTGTGTCCTTTCTCGGGTCCCTGGCTTTATCCAGAGCACTTTCCGGACCCCAGCGTGAGTCAGATGCAGGAAGGATTGGGGGCTGTGAACAGAGCCTTGCAGAACTAAGACACCCCAGAGTACTGCAGGGGAGCCTTGGGGAGGATGCAAGATTTGGTCAGGGTTTCAGAAAGAAGCCAAACCCACATGCTCCAGAGTCACAGCCTGGAGGAGGGGCTGCTAGGACTGGGCCTCAGGCCACTCAAGTGAAAGACTAGAGGAGGGGACAGCCCTGGCTTCCGGTGTCCTCACTGCTCCTCAGCTCCTGGTCCACCTCTCCTCTGCCTTGCTGAGTGTCTGCCAGAAACCCAAGAGCCCCCTAAAGACTTAGTTTGCCCGTATACAAGAAGAGGATACTCTAATCGGCCCTGAGGCTCCAGACCCTGGAGCACATGGTTTCCAGCATCTGGGAGGTGCTTGTTAGACATTCAAGGAAGGAATAAAACAAAAGCCTGTTGCAGAAGAGGCTACAGAGGCCCCCTCAATGGCAAGGCTGAGTGGATGGTAGGAGAGAGCCCCAGACTTGGACTGGCACTCCAGACTGGTACAGTTGCCCCTGAAGCTATCAGACAGGTACCCTCCCAGGCACCTGGGAGTCGGGGTCCATGCTGCTGCTCTAACATAGTATCCAGACGGGTTTACCTGTAAACAGTAGGATGGGGCTGGTCCACGGTTGTAGAGGCTGGGAACTCCCAAATCAAGGGTATGAGGGCCTTCTCTATGGTGTCCTCGTGACCTGATAGCGCCATTGTCATGGGGACCAGTGGACTCTGGGAAACACATTCAAACCCTAACCCTGAACAGTGACAATCTGCTGTCCTTTCTATGGACAGCAAAGGCAGGTGGGAATGAGAGATGTGGCCATGTGACTTCCTAAGGGGCCTGGTGTTCTTCCCCCAGAAAAATGATACAAAGAAACCCAGCCCCAAGAAAAGAGATGTGAAAACTCAGAGGTTTAGAGCATGCCTGCTGTGACTGGATGCACCCTGTGTTGTCCTGAGGGTTCGAGTCTCCCTCCCAGCTCCAGGGTTCAGGGTACCACCTGCACTCCAGAAAAAGCCGGCCTGAGGCACCTTCTTCTCACCCAGCCTACACGGCCACTGTGGTTCTGTGGAGTGACCACTCGGTGGGTGACCGCTGAGAAGCTCCGGTAGCCCTGGCTCACACCTCTCTCCCTCTCTCCTCTTCCAAACCAGAAAGAATTCACGACTGCAGTTCAACAAGGTGAAGCTGGAAGACGCTGGGGAGTATGTCTGTGAGGCTGAGAACATACTTGGGAAGGACACCGTGAGGGGCCGGCTCCATGTGAACAGCGGTAGGTGTCCCTCAAAAAAGGGAAGGGTTGGGGGGGGGCGAGTAGATCAGCTGCCCCCAGCCCTCAGGAGACTGGCACATGATCTATTTTGCACTCAACTCCCCCCCCCCCCCCCCCCCCCCCCCCGCTGCTGCATATCAAACCCAAGATCTCAGCCAATTCAGAGAAATGCAGTCAAAGCATAAATGTTTAGTTTTGTTATCTGGGCCTGGAAGAGCCGCCAGCTCTCATTTTAAATACCCTGAAAACTAAATATTTTGAAATCAAGAGGTGGGGGTTGGGGGGGGAAGGATATTTTTAGAAGGCAATTACGGGAGGTTGGGCTGTCAGGAGCGAGGCTGGGGAGAGACAGGCCTGGGGTGGGTGTGAGCTGCCTGCCTGTTGCCAGCTGCATTGCTGGGCACCTGAGCCAGGCCTCAGGGTGGGAGGCTTGAGTGCCTGGGGCCTGGGCGCAGCCTCCATTTAGGAATAACAGGCCTGGCTCCCTGACCCTAGGCCCTCTTTGGAGACTTACAAAGGAAGGCCTCAGAACTGTTTGGCTCACAGTGTCTGACTCAGCATCAGACTAGAGAACACCTTTCCTCAGGGTTGTCTCCTCAGGCCCTGGTTTGGGGCCTAGAAAGCCACCTCTCCTCCCTGCCTAAGCTGGGCACCCACAGACTGAGCTTACCATGGAGTGTTTTCTGTTCACCACGTCCTGTCCCTGGCATAGAATGATCTGACCCTGTGTATATTCCGCCCCGTCCCCCCGACTACGTTACCACCACACAGCACTGACTTGAAAGGGATCCTGCAGCATTACCAAGGCCGACAGTCAGGCCAGATCCTGTCTGCCCCGCGCTCATGGGAGATACCTCGGGCTTCTTGGGCTCTCGTATCACTGTGTCACAGGAGTCTGAGTCTCCATATCCTGGGCAGTCTGTTTTTTAGATCTTTCTCACACCTGTCCCTCCCATTCCATTCCCTATCTCAAGGGCAGCCATGGCCCAGGCTTTGTCCCCAACTCGCATGCGTCAGAGCAATGGGCTTCTAAAGCGCCTCCTTGAAGCCACCCCCATTCCCTGGAGTCTCAGAACCAGTGCTTGCTCCTTTCCTGTCCGACCCCAAGGTCATGTCATCCCCAGATGAACTCACTCTCCTTTTCCAGTCTCCATCCTTTCCAACCCCAGGCAGCCTTCCTCCTTGACCTCCTGCAGTGTTACTCTGGGTCCAAACCCCACTCTGGGCTACCTCTTGACCCCCCACGGTTTGGTGGCATCTCTTGAATTCTCGCCTTACACCCCCATACTGTTGTTGGATTTGTTCTGCGCTTCCAGCGTAGGAGGAGCCCCTGGGAAGTGACGAGAACAGGAATGATGCTGTCCCCTAAGAGCTCTCTCTGGTCACATCTACTGTTTACTGAGCCATTTACTCTAGCTGCGTTGTCTCGTGGACCCTTCTTTGGGAGAGGCTCAGAGAGGTTGTGTGTTTTGCCCAAAGTCAAACAGCGTGTTCCTGATAGAGCCCTACAGTGAGAAAGTCATTAGTAAACTTGGTCTTGGCACTCCGTGAACCTGTTTACTACTCTGGCCTCAGGGCCTAGCACAATGCCTACCTCACAATAGGGAGCCGGTAAATGTTACATTAAAGAAATTACAACCTAGGGTTAGGAATGTAGTTCAGCGGGACAGCTCTTGCCTAGCATATACAAGGCCTGAATTTCAATATCTTTTTTTTTTTTTTTGAGACAGGGTCTCTCTACATAGCCCTGGTTGTCCAGGAACCCACTGTGTAGACTAGGCTGGCCTTGAACTCACAGAGACCCACCTGCCTCTGCCTCCCAAGTGCTGGAATTAAAGCCACCATGCCCAGCTTTCAATATACTTTTTTTAATTAGAAAGAAGGAAAGGAAGGAAGGAAGGAAGGAAGGAAGGAAGGAAGGAAGGAAGGAAGGAAAGAAGGAAGGAAGAGCTATTTCAAGCCCTTTGTGGCCTCCTCCATGTCCTGGCTTGATGGCCTGAGAATGGTGCCGGAGGCAAGTCCCTGGATCCAGTGCTCTCAAGCTGTCCCAAACTGGGATGTACCTGGGCTCAGCGCCTGCCACCTCTGTTATACTGGGCAGACATCCTCTGAGCCACCTTGAACTTTGGGTTTCTCATTTTATTAATGAAGATTTTCTGGGTTAGAATTGACAAGTATCCAACTTAAACTGATCCAAAGGAAATCATTTATCGGCTCACGAAACTAGGAAGTTCAAAGGTTGTGCTGGCTCCAGATGGAGAAGACTCTAAGAATTGGGAGCGGGTCGGTTTCTTGCTTTCCTGCTATGAAACAGCATCTCCGTATTTAGAGAGGGGAGCAGGAAGAGAAGGCACCTGCCTCAGAGAGTTCACCTCAGCCAGCCCCCATCTCTGCGTCCTCCTGGGGCAGGTATGAGAATGGCTTCTTATTCCTCCTGCTCAGGTCGCATGCACATACGGCCCTGTTACCTGTCAGGTGGATGAGGCACCATCTGTGCCAGGCTTATCTGTGTGCAGAAGGGCTATCAAGAGGCAGAACACCCTGCGTGACGGCCCTGTAGGACAACCACCTCATTACGTGATGCAAAAGGAACAGGAAGGGTTCCTGCACAGAACACCCCAGCTGTGCTCTCTTCATTTCGCAGGACCAGGGTCTTGAGGGTCTGACTCACCAGTAAGCCCCAGCCCCAGCCATGAATGGCCCCATCAGCCCGCAGCATGCCAGACTTCGCTAGGCTTTGGAAGCAGACAGTGCACCTTTGGGCTGAGCAGAGGGTCTCATGCAGAGATGGAATCCCAGCTGCCCACAGGCTTCAGTGCCTCTTGTTCCTGCAACCTGGTGTGAGAGCAGAGGCCCAGGTGGTAGCCAGAGCTCCAACATCTGCACTGGTCCACAGTTCCAGCTCTGTGTTCCACAGCCTGCATGCTCCTTCCCCACCTAAAGCTCAGCTTTGCCCTCGTAGGTTGACCTACATGGTGTTAAGCTTCTCCTGAACTCCTGGGATTCTGAGTTTGCTGCTGAGGTTGCCATGGGCACCTCACCAACACACACACACACACACACACACACACACACACACACACACACACACACACGCATCCTCACACACTCTGCACACATCTCTTTGCTTTGACTGCCCTGTCCAGTCCGCAGCAAGCAAGACTACTCTTGATGTGGAGACGTGGTCATGGCCGTTTTCCCAAGCAGAGATGCATGGATTCTGTGTTTACCAGCGAAAGCCAGCAGACCTGCAGCAACCACACCCTGAGGAGGGGGTGGAGGGCGGGCAGCGGGCAGCTGAGCCTGCCCCCAATGACTCATCCCAAGGTGGGTTGGCAGGTCCCCGCCTAGGCCCCAGGGGAGTTAGGGCCACAGGAGTAGGGCGTCAAAGGGCATCACCCTACTCTTGGATGGCCACCTACCTCTCCATTAGGGTGGAGCCACAGTCCTCTTTCCCAGATCAGAGGTGGCCCTCCGGGTCTCATGGGAGCTTCCATCGTCCCTGGACTGACAGGGAAAAGGAGTCTGTAGACATAGACAGAACTTGGAACAAAACAATCTGTAGTGCAATCCTCTTCTGCCTTCAGAAGCCAGCAACCTGTCCCAAGTGAAAGGGAACTCCAGACTGTCCCAGGATACCAAGCACAGGGCAGGCAGGTTTGGCATGAGGTGTTGTTACAGGACTGCGGACATGTGACAGAGGCCTCTGGGCAAGGGGGTAGCTGGTTGAACACGTCTACACGTGCCCATGTGAACACGTATCCTCACATCAGTTGTATTCAGCACGACCCCGCTGAGTTCCAGAAAGGCACTGCCTTGGTTATCACAGACCCTCAAATGACAAGAAGGTGAAATCCTAGGCCTGAAAGCGTGCGCCTCTCCCAACAAAGTAGGGGGAGGATGGGCACCTGGGCCAACCGAAAAGGAGTCATTTGCACAGCAAGGCAGGAGCTGGAGAGCTCAAGGCAATGGGTCTGGACCTTAAAGAGAGGCAGAAGTTTGTCCCTGCTGAAAAGAGGAGAGAGCAGCTGCAGCCTGGACATCAGAGAGACACTCAGTGTTCCCACTCAGCCTCTGCCCCATTTCATCTTCCTCTGAAGGTCTGGGACAACTTGAACCAAGACACTCATGGCAACTGCTTCCTGGGTTTTCCCCTTCTGGGCATGGTTTTAATTAATTTTTTTAGATATAATTTGCATATCATAAAACTTGTCCTTTTAAAGTATGATTCAGTGGCATTCGGTATAGTCACCGAGTTATGTAACTATGCCCACTAATTCCGAACATTTTATCATCACCTCAAAAACTGCATGTGTGTTAGCAGTCGCTCCCCACTTCTCCCTCCAATCCCACAACTACTTCTCTTGCTCTCTGCCCCTGTGGATTAATTTATAGTAGACATTTTGTATAAATATAACCATATAATAAGTGGCCTTAACATATCTTAAGGCCCATCCATGTTGTAGCATATATGAGCGCATTCCTTTTATGGCGAAATACTATTCTAGTGTGTAAATACTACATTGTATTCATCCATTTTGAATACATCCAACAGTCTGAATTGTTGAATCATTTGGATCGCTTCCACATTTGGGCTCATGAATAATGTTTCTGCGGACATTCATGTTCAGGTGGTTGTGAGCACACAGGTTTTCAGTCTTGAGGATACACCCATGAGTGGAATTTCTTGAGTGTATGGTAATTCTGGGAATTTTAAATTTTTCTTTTTTTAAAGAACTCCCAGAGGCCAGGAGGTGGTGGCACATGCCTTTAATCCCAGCACTCAGGAGGCAGAGGCAGGCGGATCTCTGTAAGTTCGAGGCCAGTATGGGCTACAGAGCAAGTTCCAGGACAGCCAGGGGTACACAGAGAAACCCTGTCTCAAAAACAAACAAACAAACCCCCCAGACTAGATGTCCAAGCAAGCACATCACCGTACATTGACAGTAGGTGTGCCCCAGGGTTCTGGTCCCCCCATAGCCTCTCCAGCACTTGCTCTTTTCCAGATCTAGCATTCCAGCCATCCTAGCAGGCATGAAGCAGTAGCTCCCTGTGGTTTTTGACTTCACCTCCCTAACGACCTCTCTGCATTATTTGCTAGTGAGAGGAGAAAAGGTATCGACGACGTCCAGGCTAAGGACACTAGACTACGCTCAGGGAAGCAGCAGAGGGCACTTTCCCCTCAAGAATCAGACATGGGTTTGCTCACTCTGTCGACAAATGTTAATTAAGCACCTATTCTGTGTCAAGCGTTTGGCTGGATGTTGGGGCTTAGTGAAACGTGACAGATGTGGCTATGCCCCCCAAAGGAGCTGGGGTTCTAGTGACGGAGCTAGTGCTGGTATACTTGGTTCCTTAGTCAGTTTAGAATAAATACTCCTAGCAAAAGCTTGTGCGATGAACATAAAGAATGTTGGGGTTGAAGCCATCTTGAGAACCCGGGAAAGGCTGCATGGAGACGCTGAGAGGTCCTGGGCAGCAGGGCACCTGGCTGGTTAGAAAAGCTGAAATGAGTGTAGTCAGAATATGTTGAGAGACCAGGGTAAAAGGGAGGGAAGTGCGATGAGACCCAGATAAGACCTAACGAAGGGTGGAGGGCTTTGTTCTGACTACAGAGGGACGCCACTAACGAGCCTTGATCATGAAAGGGATTGACACCATTTACATATTCTGAAGACCACTGTGGCAGCCAGAGTGAAGCCAAGTGCGAGGCAGGAGGACCAGCAAGTAGGTCACCCAAGGAAGATGGGACAGTGACCTGGACCAGGGGAGGAAGTAGAAGGCATAAATGGGGCCTCTTGAGGTCGTGGAAGTGTCCGTCCTTGAGGATATATGGCAGTAAAGAATAAAGAGAAAATAAAAGACACTGTCTAGGACCTTGGGGCTCCCAGGCATAGGGAAGAGATGGGTAACTGGGAGGCCAGTTTGGACATACCGGATTTAGGGTTGCTGTGAGCCGTCCCAGTGGAGAGGGCAAGGGAGCAGCCTTTTCACTCAGAATCCTTTGCCTCTCCAGATACAAAAGACCAGTGGCAAAATACAGATGTGTTGACAGGGCTAAGAACATGTTGCCTCGGGACCGACGGGGACAGCTATGCTAAAGTGGCTTGGGAAGGTCTTACCATGACAGAGGAGGTGGGAAGGCCTGTGGCCACCATTCCCTGACACCCCTATGACTAGCCCCCCCACTACCCTCCCTTTAGCCTTTCTGGAGACCTGGCATCAGCCCCACTGGCATGGTATTGGCGACCCATGCTCACGGCACCACAAGTGGAGGTCCATCTCTCTTCTGTGGTCCCTGCCACCCCAGCAGCCTCGCTGCTGTCCGCTGCTCAGTCAGCTTCACAGAACAACAGTGAAGAGCAACAGCAGGAGGTCTCTGCCTCCACTGCAGCAGAGGAGCCATGCTGGGCCTGGCAGATCCAGGCCAAGATTCCTCTGGCTTAGCCAAGGCCCCCGGGAGGCCCCAGGCTGTGGTCCACATTCATCTGCTCACGTCAAGCCTCGGTGCTGACGTGCTCTTTCACAAGGTGCAGGGTATCTAGCAGGAATGCACAACTGCAGCTCTAGAGAGACCCTCGGCCCGTCTCTTTCCTCGCTCCTCCTTGGAGGTGTGACCCAAGGGCAGGACAACCTCTAGGACCTGCCCAGTGTTGGACTTTATAACTTGCAGACGTGGTCCCCACACTTGCGTCTCTCCTCTGTCCCTTTCTTAGTTTCCTGGGTCTCTGTGACCCAGAATCGGAGCAAACACCAGTTCAAAGCTTCCTCTCTCGGGCCAGCATGTGGGTCCCAGCTGGGTTTGCGGTGGAGCCCTAGAGGAGACCTCAGCAGGGGAGGGTGGGGCCTGAGATGCCAGCTCTGCAACAGGCACGGGGTGGAGGGGAAGGCAGGAGCTGGCCCTCCCCGCTGAGTTTTATCTGTGAGCTCCTTCAGACATATACAGAGGCAGTGCTGTGTGTACACTCCAGTCCCCCACGCTCCATCTGTCTCCCTACATGTCTAAACACTGAGGGTGCCAAGCGCCTGCCTGCTCCATCCTCCTCCTCTCCCTCCCCCCCCCATTGCCGAAGGGAGCAATGGAGGCTGCCACCCCAGGGGAGATAAGGGTAGCCAAGGTGGAGTGGAACACCTCAGTCACAGGGCCGCCGCTGCCCAGGAGTGAGAGACCCTCAGAGCCCCAGAGCACAGCGGGTCCCTCACTTCTGTGCAGCGGTGGTCCTGTGCAGAGGTGCATTTAAAGCCAGCTTTCTGGACGCTGTCCCCTGGTAAGGGAGCAGAGCATTCATGATTTTCGTTGTTTCAGACAAGCCCGATCAATCAGACGTGTGGCCTGGGTTAGCAACCTGAGAGCCCAGCCTCTCTCGCACCTGGTTTTCACATCCCAGCTGGTCCCTGCCCCCCTCCCCCTCCCCCCCCCTCCCCCGTGTCCCCCCCTTCCCTCCGTCCCTCTCCCAGCTACATCTCCTCCTGAAGTTCATGATTTGTAGCTTAGGCTGTGAAAGGTCTGAAGGCTCCCTCCACAGGCAACAGCTGACAAGGAGGCAACTGTCTGGTCGGGTGGGGACATGAAGAAGACACCGAACACTTCTAGAAACAAGACATGGCAGCTTTCATAACATCCCAGGCCTGGGGACAAGAAGGAAGAGACCAGAAGCCCAAGTCCCCCCTGCCCCCCCCCCACACACACTTTCTCAAAGCTCAGAAAATGACAATATCTGAAAGGTGTCATTTCCCTGAGTCCCCTGGTCCGCAATAAGAATCTGAGCAGTGCAGATGGATACAGGTTCTCCCCCTGCACCCCAAGCCATTTCCCACATCAACATCTAGTACTACAGTGGAGCCCCCCAGGAGGGAGACAGGAGTAGAGCAGAGGTCAGGCCTTCCTCCAATGGAGAAGCTCTTCCTGTTCTTTTCCAAAACAGTGAATGCAGAGCCACACTGGGCCGACGGTCCGTTGTGGCTTCCCATTCACCTTGTTGCCCACCAAAAGATCCCCTTAGACCTTCCCTACCCAGGCCTTCGTGCAGATCCTAGTGGCCTTCCAGTTTTGAGATGGGAACATGAAAGAACGTGAAAGAAGTGGCCCCTGGGCCCGGAGAGGGTCTCGCTGGGTCACTAGCACGTGTCTCTCGTACCTCCAGTGAGCACCACTCTGTCATCATGGTCGGGGCATGCCCGGAAGTGCAACGAGACAGCCAAGTCCTACTGTGTGAATGGAGGCGTGTGCTACTACATCGAGGGCATCAACCAGCTCTCCTGCAAGTAAGTGGCCGGCGGGGGTGGGCTCGGGGCCAAGAGCAGGGGAGGGGATGTTGGGGCAGAAGTGGAGGGCTCTAGAAAAAAAAAAGTGAGCTTCAAGCTACTTGGAAGTGATCCCCAAGGGGCACAGACAGGGTGGTTTGTCCACTTTCTAGTCCTTTCTGGACTCTAAAGATATGTAAGTTCTAAGGGGTGTGTGGACTCCTGCAGACCCAGTTTTCTAGGCTCTTATCACCCTCTCGCCCGATGTCCATCTCTTACCACCCTGCAGGGAGGTGGGAATACCCATCTAAGGCACTCCTCTCTCTCTCTCTCTCTCTCTCTCTCTCTCTCTCTCTCTCTCTCTCTCTCTCTCTCCTCCCTCTCCTCTCCTCTCCACTGGTTTGTCTTTCTTCCCCATCCTCTAAGCAACTCTCCAAATTTGTCCTGGGTGAGCATGTCCTGGCTGCATCTTCTTCACTGGGAGAGTAAGGCGGGACCCAGGCTGCAGAGCCCTTGGCACCTGCTGCTCTCACTCTTGTTGTCTAGCGGGGGGGGGGGGGGGGGGGGGGGGGGGGGGGGGGACACGGGGACAGGGGTTTACCCAGAGCCCAGGGCTGGCCTCAGATCTGGCTGCTCGTCCTGCCCTGGTGACCCCCAGTGGCCAGTTCTGCCCTGAGCATTGCTTGTACCATTTTAACCCCAGTCCCTCTCTATGGATGGTGGGGACTTCAGCAAGGACACCACGATGGGAGTGGCCCAAGGAGAGTGGCAGCAGCAGGAGCTCCACGGAGCTTAGAACCCCGCTATCCAGACTGCGGCACTCAGGATAAGCCTGAATGAGGCCACCAGAACAGACTTTTCCAGTCCCGGCGGCTCTTCTGGCGATCCTCCTGCCTGTATGTAGAGAGGGACACAAATTCAGGGAGTGCAGCTCTGGCCGGATCTTCAGGAGGAATAGGAAGAGGAATCTAGTCAACAATTGGAATTTCTCAAAGCAGCCCGTGCCAAGGGCCCCAGACTAGGTGCCAAAGCTGTCCCATTCCCATGGCATCTGGACAAAGGCCACCAGAGCGTTGCTAGTTCAGAAAGAGGGTGTTGACCTCCTGATAGAACTCCAGGCTCTCCTACCTCTGGCTACCCAGGCCAGATCTTGCACTCCTCACTGGCTTGGCCTTTCTAAGAGTATGACCCTGGAGAGGAGGCTGGGATTGTTAAAGAACCCTCCCCAGGTGATAGGGTCCCAGTATCCCTGTCTCCTCCCAGTCTCCCAGGGGGCAAGAGAGCTTGGCGGCACAGCCAGACAGAGCTGTGGCCCCAGCTGGCCTCCTCACTGGCTTCCTCCATGGTCCCACCCTTCACCTGCTGTCACCCCCTTCCCACCCTCCTTCCTCCTGAACCCCTCAGGGAAGTTCCAAGAGCAACAGAAGGTTCTCCAGGGAAGTCCAAGGCCTGGTCTGGGCCTCTAAGAGGCAGCCATGATAGCAGCTCGGGCCCAGGGAAACATCGCAGCCTTGCAAATGCTCTGAGCTCTTTGGAACAGACCTTTAGAGACTCTCAAAGATCTCAGCATGCCTCACAGAGAAGTCCCAGCCCTGGATCCCCTCTCTCCCACACCAGGCCTCTCCTCTTCCCTAGTCCTTTGGACCCCTGACCCTCCCAAGAATCCAGCACTGTCACTGAACGGCAGGCAGGAAAGGCTCTGCACCCCAAGACAGGCACAAGGACACAGCAGGTCCCCAGAACCCGAGTTCCGGGATGGAGCGCAGTGTAAGAAAGGGAAGGATGAGGCAATGGTTCCCGGGGGACCCTACCAACATGACTGTGCCCCTAGGAGCCAGGGCAAGCCCTGATTCGTTTGAAAGGAGCAGGAAGACGGGCCCGAGCCCTTGTGAATATGAGGGTGCCCTGTTTCCTCCCCCCCACCCAGGGCAGCTGGGTTCCAGAGGTGAAATTGGCACCCAGAGCCACTGCTTCCCCCTGGGTCAGCCCTAGTCAAGGCTCCATAACCCGCTTCCCCGAACCCTTCCGTCACATGCGAGGGAGAGGGACATCCCTGGCTGGGCCTGCAGTCCTCGGAGCTGTGCTGGAGAAGGGCAGGGGGGAGGGGGCCGGGCAGAGCCCAGAGGCCATTCTGAGGGTGGGGATTTGGGTGGGAAGGGGGGCAGGCCTCTTGGGGTTTCTGATAACACCTGAATGGAGTGGAAAAAGGAAAGAATTTAGGAAACGGGGACTCACGTCTACCATTTTGTGCTGTTTGTTTACTTTTTATTTTGATTTTTTTGCATTTCCGCTTAGCTTGGACAATGAAACTACACTGGTCAGTTTCATTCCAGTTTCTATAAAACTCAGTTTTCCTTCCTGGTTTTCTTACACTTGTTGCTGTGTATTGGTTCAGAGCCCCCCAGGGAGTGTTGAACAGCAGGCAGGCACACTCCGTAACCCTCCGGTTTTCCTGGAAGTCAGTGCCAAAAGAAACAATGTCACTGATGCTGAATTTTGTTTTAAAAAAAAAAAAAAGAAAGAAAAGAAAACTTAAGGGGACTTGAAAATGGGGGTCCAAATCAAGGCGACTGTCTTCTGTCTGGGCCAGACAGGGACCTCCACACTTCCTCTTGCCGTTTTCTCCTCTTCTCTCCGCGTGTTTGTTGAGCACGGTTGGTGCGTGACTCTTGGGGACTGGTTCAGGGGATGATGACAGAACAAGACTCTCTTTCCAGCCCTGTGCACATACCAGTGGCATGCCTCCCTCTCCCATCAGCTCATCCCCCTCATCCCCAGCTTCCCTGCCCCATCCCACCCATCTGCCTGCTCATCCTCCATACATCTGCACCTGCCCCCACCCCCATGAGCTCCGAGACCCTGGCTCCCTCCGGTGCCTGGGGCCACAGTCTCATCCTTCATCCTTCCTTCCCCAGGTGAGGGCAGCACACATGGCATTATCCCCAGGCTACCAAAAGGAGAAACTGAGGCCCGGGAGGTGGGTGGGGAACAGGGACAGCAGAGATCCTGCCCTCTCTGCCACCCCAGATGTAGCCCCTGGGCTCTCCTCTCTGCTCTTCTCCAGCCCCAGGTTCAGACCTTCTCAGAGTCGGAGGTGATGCCTGCAGGAAGGTCTAGGAAGGCTGCGGCCTGCTGCCCCTTCCAACCTATCCCCTATTTCCCTGAACCTCACAGGTGAGCCCTGTGTGAGTGGGAGCCACTAACCTGCCACCAGTCGGCCACTCATACCCAGTGCAGACTCCTATCGTGCTGATAAGGCTCCCCTGGCTCCTGCTACCCTGGTCTGGCTGCGGGGCAGAAAGGTCAAAGGCCATGCTCATACCTAGAACCTTCTCTAAAGAAGATGAGTCCCCACACAGAGAGGAACAGGAGTATCCAGGAGCCCCTAAAGGAGCTAGTACCCCCAAAGGATAGCACTGGCCATCAGTCCTTCCCCACCCTGACCACCCTATCCCCCAAAGCCCCTTCTTTATCCAGCGAGGAGGAGCATCCCTCTCACAGACAGGTGTGAGGCTAGCACCAGAATGTTGCACAAATACCATAGCACATGTGTGTTGTGGAGCAGTCAATGGTGCCACCTGGAATTGTGCAACTCAGCAGCCCTAGGCAGACAGGCAGACTAGTCCAGGCTGAGTCTGGGACAGGGACACAGAGATGTGCTTATAGTTGTCACTGGTCTCCAAGACTCATGGGACAGCAGCCCTGATGTCAAATAAGTTCCCTTTGGTCCTTTTCTGTCCCTGCACTCCACTGTTCTTACACACACACACACACACACACACACACACACACACACACACACCATGCATTTGCGTACACTGATTTCTCTGACTCTAAGAGCCCAGAGAGAGGCAGACAATGGACACAGTCAAGCCTAGTCCTTTCCTGTTACTTTGTAGAATCCAAGAGTCATTTTTGGCAACTTCTGGGTCTTCATCCTTTACTCCCAAAGGTGCTTCTGTTTGAAAAAGAATCACTTCACCTGCTTCTAATCCCCATCCCCCACATCGAGGGCCCAGGAGCAGAGGAAGGAGAGCTGAGCCTGGCTGTGGTCAGTTGGGAAGCCTCAGCCACTTCCTCCATCTTCCTGGGCTAAAATGACTAGGGACAAGGGTCAGGGATCAGAGGAGACTGAAGAGGGCCTCCTTCCCTAAGCCACCCTATCACAGGGTAAGCATGCTTTGCTGATGCCCCTGGCTCTAATACTTGTACTTCCCAGCCAGACCTCCAACTGGCCAGGCACATGGGCACCCACGCTCCGACACTACAATGGCCAGCTCTCCCTCCTTCTCCCAACCCAGGGAGATACCACAGGCCCAAAAGAAACTCCAGCTTTGTGTCCACCAGCCACCCCCACTCCCTATTCCTCCAGATTAGAGGCCACGGAGTTTTCATGATTATCTCTCATAGCCAATGGCCAGCATCTATCAAAAGGCCAAGGACCCCCTTGTTACATACAGCTAAGGCAGAGAATCCTCGCCTCCTGAGGAAGTCTAGGCTGACCAATGTTGCACAGTAACCTGGTACTGAGGGGTTACTGCCCATGGGGTTTCCCTAGCTCCTAGGGGAATGCAGGCCGGGGCAACAGAGACCTGTTTCTGAAGAGAGACATGCATAAGGGTCAGTGCAGCCCTGTCTGTGGGGTTCTCCCTAGGTAACTGGCCTTCCTGGGGTTCAGGAGAAAGGACAGGACTGGGCATGTCTCCTAGAAATCTACGAAACTGGGACTTGCTTAAGGGGAGAGGCGGCAGCCAGAGAACAGAAGGAAGTGTACCTTGCGGGCACGACAAGGTCAGAGAGAAGGGGGCGGATGGGTGGTGCCTTGGAGTGGCGAGGAAGGCCAAGTGCAAGGAGATCTAGGCCAAAGCCGGGCCACAGTGGAAGAACAGGTCCCCAGGAAAGGGCAGGCAGGCCAAGGCTGGCTCCAACCTCCCCCTGCACCAGGTGTCTGGGAGGTAGCTTTGGGACACTGGCAATTCCACCTCTCTCCAGCTTGCCTTCCCCCACATCTACTGCTCTAAGACAATTATGCCCTGCAAGGGTTCTCCTAAAAAGTGCCTTCTGTTCCAGACCAGCCAGAGCTATAGCATGAGACCCTGTCTCAAAATACACAAACAAAACCTCCTTGGTCAAATAAGTTTATAGAGTTTAGTTAGTATTGCCTCCAAAGCTTTTCATAACCCTTCCTACGCTAACGGAGACTGCCACTCTACAGGAGCCCTGGGGGATGGATTTCCCAAACATATTGGCTCACAGATCCCTCTTTGAGAGAACAGATCAAATACCTCCTAGGTCCCTTTGGTCATGAGCACACAGTGTGAGAACAGCCTAGCAGAATTCTACTTTGAGTTTTCTGGGAGCTGTTCATAGAGGAGGAAACCTGCCCAGAGTCCTGGAGAGAATCCTTCAGCAGAGCCTGGAGGACATCAGGAACTTGAATCCCCTAAGTCTAGCTGCCTGGCACCGGGAGGCTACAGTTCTGGCTTCCTGGCGCACCAGGCAGGTAAGAAGGAAAGATCCCCAACCAATAGGACAGTTAGTCAATAACCCCCCACTTTCCCCCACCCAACTTCCCTAACTCATTTTCCTCCCTGCCCCACCCCACCTGCCCCACCCCACCCCCAGAGCCACATGGATTAGAGCGTTTGCTAGGAGACGACAGAGCCCTCCACCCAGCCCCCGACTCCAGCCCCTTCAGCTACGAGTGTGACCCCAAGCGCCTGACTCGGTTTTCTCATTCATCACTGCGCACTTTGATTTCTAACCTTAGCCTCGTGGATGATGCCAGTTTGTTCTGTGATTTTTCCCCTTTTCCTTCTCCAGATGTCCAAACGGATTCTTCGGACAGAGATGTTTGGAGAAACTGCCTTTGCGATTGTACATGCCAGATCCTAAGCAAAGTATGTTTGAAGATACAAACACAAGTCCCCGCTCCTTAGAAAGCATCCGGGTGCAGTCCCCCAATGTAGGGCGTAGGGTCAGGGGTGTTGGTTGTTTTGATCTTCGGCTGTTACGTTTTGTTTATCTTTTCTTTTTCGTACTTTGGTTTGTTAGTTCTTTTGTTTTGTTTTTTTGTTTTGCTTTGTTTTTCATTTTTTTGGCCTAATCCTTGGGTTTAAAGTTCAGGGCTGCAGGTAAGGGGCAGAGCGACAAGGCCAGGACAAATGGTAACCGTGGCGAGGAACCTAGCTGGCATTGGCAGGAGCCTGTGCCGGGGTGTTGCAATGCCTGTGTCTTGCTATCCTGGCTCTCTCTTTCTGGTTTTCTTTCTTTTGGTAGGTGTCCTGTGGGATACACCGGGGACAGGTGTCAGCAGTTCGCAATGGTCAACTTCTCCAGTATGTCTCTTCTTCTATTTCTTTTCTTCCCTGGTGACTGCCAGTCTCCCCGTGTGGGAGGGATGGGGGCCTTACTTACTAAGACCTGGAGGGAACAAGGGTGTCCTGAGCTCCTCTCAGTCCTCAGTGCTTACCAGTAGCTCCTGCAGAGGAGGCATACACCCCTGTCTCCCCACCGATCCCCATAAGTCACCTGTTTCGCCTGAGAATAGTCATGCTGAATCCTCTGCAGCAGCAGGGCCATGTCCAGGCCTCTCCTCTCTTCTGGGATCAGGCAGCCTGCCAGATGGAGGAAGAGGTATTTGTACGGCCTCCTCTGCCTCTGGTGTCAGGCTGCTGATTGGCCAGGCAGTGAGTGTGTGCATGTTTCTGAGGTTATGTTTGAGAGAAGGGAAAAGGTCTCAAAAGCCTGTCTTCTGGTCTGGCCAGGTTTGTTTTGGGGTTCCAGGACTAAGGCAGAGGGCTGAGTGAAAGAGAGAGGGCCCAGCACAGTGGTTTCCATGGAAGCCAGAGACATTTGTATAGTTACAGGCTGAGGTGGACTGAAGGCTGTGGCAGATGCTAACAGACTCAGGGGGAAATTGGAGACTCTTCCAAGACCTGTCTAGTCTGAACACTGTCCAGGATCCCATCTCCTTTCTTTCTTCCACACTGGGCGAGATTTGGCTAAGAATAGTGGATTTTCATTGGCGCCTGGGAGCAGTTCCTTCCAGCACCGCCAGGTGGGGTGGAACAGAGCAGTTGGCCTCTGGAGAGTCACGGACTTGGTTTGGAGCCCTGTGGTCTTCAAGATCAGGACCATGTCACCCGTCCCATCCTGCAGAGCAGACTAGCCCCCTGCTCCTTTCTAGAGAGGACATCTGGGTCCTGCGAGCAGTAAGGAACCAGAGAACCCAAATGGTACTTTGGTGTTGGGAAGGAAAACTCATAAAAATACCAAAAGTGAAACCCAGGGGCCCATAGGTAACATATCAGAAAAAGAGTTTTAGAGTTTGGGTCTCAGGGTGGAAAAGTAAAGCCTCACTATTGTCCTCAGATCCCAGGACAAAGCCCAGAAATACATCTACTGTCCTTAGAAGGAGCATTTGGGTCCCAGCAGGTGAGGGCTGGTAGACCCAGGAAGTCACCTCTGTCTATAATATGAGAGGCAGTGCTCTCTCCAGACCCCTCCAGTCACAGGCCATGGAGGGAGAGGGGATAAAGGCACAATGTGTGAGCAAGACATGTAGCCCAAAAGAATTCTGTAGAACTCAAGCTCTGGGAGAATTTCAAAATCAGATCCAGCCTATGTGGAGATCTCTGGGGCAGGGGGAGTCCCAGGCAAAGACAGAGCAGATGGTCCAGGGTGGATCCGGTGAGAGAGGCACTGGGGGTCCTGTTCCTTTCCACCCTTGGCTAAGAGCCTCCACAGCTTGGAAAACTGTTCTGGACAGGCAGTTCCAGCTAGCCCTAGATCAGAGAACAGCAGAGCCTCCAGAACATGGGTTACCATGCAAAGCCCCTCGGCCAGCTAGATCATGTCAGCCTAGCCTCTATCTTCTGGAAGGGTCAGCAGGGCCCTCAGAGCCCAAAAGAAAGCCTGCAAATACAATCCCCAGCTGTCCTCTTGTGTCATCAGTACCATACAGGTGCATTTATATGGAAGTCCTGTTCTTCAAGCATGTTCCCTGAAGGCCCTCATGATGTTCTAGTACATAATGAGTACAAAGACATCATCCTGTACCCCCTGAAGTCCCCAGATGCCCATCCAGAAGGGCCAGATGCTGAGATCCCTAGTCCTGGGCCTTATTGAAGTGTTCTGGGTTTGTTCTCAAGTCTGTAGAATGAGGAGAGAGGCATCCGCGCCTAGAAGGCAGCCGTGGAGGTGAAGCGATACGTGGGAGAGGCTCACCTGAGAGCCGCCATATCACTAGAGGGCAATTTAGGATCTCTCCCAGCTATAAATGGCAAGGAGGAGGGCAGGAAGAGGCCTAGTCCTTGGAGGATGCCTCCCAGCATTGCTGAGCCAAGTGTCTGACCCTGACATCTACCCAGACCACCTCAAAACCAGGCAAGATTTTCAGAGACTAAGAAAACAGCCTTTGACCCCCAATAGCACTTAGAAGTTTCTTGTACTACAGGCCCTGCCCTCCTGAAAGGGAAAGCTGGCCCATCTGTATCCCACATGTGTATAACCACACATTCACACACATGCATAAACACACACACACACACACACACACACACACACACACACACACACACACACACACACACACAAAATACAGGGGCATGTGCTCACATCAGCACATACATCACTGTCTCCTCATCCAGGCACCTATGACTGCCATTGGTTATGTCCAAGACAATAAATTTGCATATTTCCTAAGAAGCCTAGCCCTGCTAGAAATCCAACATCTAATTTACTGGTTAATATGAACATTTCTGGCCTGAGACTCAGTGGTACCACCCCATCCTGGCTAAGTGCCATGCAAAAAAAAAGTAAGAGATTGCTCTCCTAACTGCCACAGACATGGCTGTAGATCCCTCAGCACCTGTCTCAGGCTTCCCAGGAAGAAAGTCATCTACCTAATGACTGGCCAAACTCTCAGTGACCTCATCAATCGTGCCAGCCACCACTGGCTTACCCTAACCATAACCCCTGGGAGCCACATGACACCGTTTGGTTCCCAGAGAAGTGACCTGGAAGGACATTCTCAGAGAGCTTTGAGAGACTTGCTCGCTTCTCCAGGAGGCCGCCATCCTCAGGAATAGTCAGACAAGCCTGAGCAGGAACAGCCGTAGCTTAAGCCCATGATCCCTTCCAGTCTCTGCCTCCCGATTTCCTGCATCGCCTTGAGAAAGTATCCTGGCATCATGGGGCATTAGCTGCCCTATAGGCTTTACCAACTTTGTCTGAAAGTGAGCTGAGGACCAGAACTTAGAACTGGCGCGAAGCTGGTCTTCTGTCCCTCAGGTGAGCATCAGAAGCATTGTCCTGAGTGCTTCAAAGTCCTAGGCTCCAGGGTGTGCTATTCAGGAGCCTCTCTGTGACCCTTTGATCCAGCCAGAGAGGACCCTGCGCTGCACTTAGGGCTTCAAGCAGTCAGAACAAACTGAAAAGAAGGCAAGTTCTCAACATCTCCCCAGCTTCAGAGGGCAGACATGCAGAGGGCTTGTGTTTGAAGTGCTGGAATCAGTTCTCTTCCTTGGTGTGGCCTCTGCACAGAACTGGTCCAGTCAAAACCCCAGGATCTTCCTCAAGATTCTTGGGATCAAGATCTTCTTGGTCTTCGGCTCAGAGTCACCCACTCTCCTGCTCTTTCCAAATACAGAACCCTCTGGAATCCCTTCCAGAAAGCACAAAGAAATGGACCAGATAATGCTCGGGGCGCCCTTCCTCCATAGCAGACGAGAAGTCAAGCCCAGAGCCACACCCTCACCAGGTCTAGGTGACTGATGTGAAAGTCAGTGAGGGAGTGTGCCCAGGCAGGTGTGAGCAGGGGCCCTGGCACACACATGTCCTAACCTCCTGTTGGCCAGGCCTGCTCACATCTGCCTCTGTGTACTGGTACTTTGGAGAGAACAGACTCATGGATCACCCACATCCACATAGCAAGTTAGGGATGAAACAGAGACCCAGCTCTGTAGACCAGAACAGGCTGTGCCTGAAAAGGAAAGGCGGGTCTTTAAAACACCACCGAGATTTCTGGGCTCCCACCCAGACCTTCTCCCATTGGCCTGAATGGTTCTGAAGCACAGCCAGGTTTTCAGACCTCCCAGGACCCCATGGCAAGGCTTGGTCCCCCCATCGCAGCTGAAAGACTGAGACCTAGATAGGTTGGGCATCTCTCAGAGTCACAGACAATGGTGACTGTGACTGCCAGAGCTGACCCTTAGACCAAAGCCCTTTTATTTAATCTCTCAATGTTGTAAGCATCCACCTCTCAAAGGCCCGAACACACACATTCAGGTAACGACCTCACTTCCAACACTGTAATTTGTCTATAGTGTACGAAGTGTGCATGTTCCACAGACGAACTCACTCTTCCTGTGCTCTCAGTTGTAGATGCTCTCCTAAACAGTGAGCTGGGTTTGGGTACCACAGCCCAACCCTGTGAGCCTGGGGTATGTGGAACGTCAAGAGGAGCAATGACTTGCTTCTTGGAGTCTCCTCGCCCCATTCTTCTCCCCTAAGTCACCAAAGCTCTGCACTCAGGCCGCCAGGAGCTAGGCCGGGCCAGCTAGGCCTATGGCACAAGGCAGGGACACGGGGCTGGACCAGAGACGTGACACATCCATTTCGAACAGATGAAAAGGACCTCCAAGAATGAGCTAGGAGTGGGGCAGGCTGACTTCAGGAGGACTGGGGATGCTGAAGGGCGGGAACTAGAACCAGGAGGGGGTTGGGCACTCCTCCTTGGACCCCCTCCCCCCAACCCACTCGTCCTCTGCCCCAGGGGACTGTGCCAACTGACTCTTGAGCCTGTGCCTTCTCACCAGGTACTAACCCCACTGCTCACCTCTAAAGACCCTTTCCTGCCTGCAGTTCTAACATGGCCTCTCTCTTGCCTTCTTGGGGCTCTCAGGGACTAGGGACCAGGGAAGGAGCTCAGGAGGCCGGGAGGGGGCACTACTAACCTGCTTGCACCTCACAGGCTGGCTGCCCAGTGTCTGAAGAGTTCTGACCAACGTTTTCTCTCTCTCTCTCTCTCTCTCTCTCTCTCTCTCTCTCTCTCTCTCTCTCCCCTTCTTTCTCATTCTCTCCCTGGCCCCTCTCATTCCCCTTTGTTCCGCACTGCCAGAGCACCTTGGATTTGAATTAAAGGGTATGGAACCTGATTATCACCCTGAATCATCTGCACAACCCTCCTCCACAGCCTCTGACACCAGGACTGCGGGACGTTAGGTTTCCTCTCCTCCCAAATGGAAAGGGGCGATTCTGACATTTTCCCTGGCCTCCTCAAGATGCTCTAGCATTAACTATGGTGATTTGGAGGCAGACAAGAAAATCTCAGGGAGAGCAGGGTAGCCTGCAGTTTAAACTGTGCCTGGTGCTCAGTTAGCACCCCCTGCAGGGGCGGAACCCGCAGGGACCAGCCCTGCCAAGCAGTACAGCCTGTCAGTCATCCGGCTACTCGAAGGGCTGGTGTCTGTAGACCAAAGCAGCCTGGTTCGGGGAGCTATGCAGAGAGGCAACTTTTTCCATCTCACTCGGGTCCTCCTTCCTTCCCAAACCCATTTCCACCGCTTCATATTCTCTGCACTAGGCTAGAGGCTGACAACTTCCCATTTGCTTCTGTCCCTGCATCATGTCTGTCTGCTAGGCTCTGCCATCTGCCTGAGGCTTTCGCTCCTCCATGATCTGTCCCTACAGTGGCATGTAGTGTGTGTGTGTGTGTGTGTGTGTGTGTGTGTGTGTGTATCCGTGGGTAAGACCACCCAGGGTCTAATCTGTACCGACCCCCTCCCCTACCCCCCCCCCAGAAACTCACATCTGATTCCTACATCCCCCGCAAAGCCACAAACACTGTCTGTCCTTTGGCCTCTAGAGAAGACTGCCTATCTGGAAGAGACATTGGGGATCAGCGTTTTAAGCTCTCTGACTTGGTGCAGGGAGACTCCAGCCTAGCCTCAAGTGTCCCCATGTGTCACAGCACCAGGCACGCAGGGCTCAGGAGTGGTGGGGATGCTGTCGTAGTGGCGATGGGGAACATCAGAGACAATGTATATGGAAAGGCTTTTTCATGGCAGCCCCGGGGAGGTCTTAGCTCCCCAACCACCTAGTCCCTGTCAGTTGCTCTCAGAAGAAGGCAAAGCTCAAAGTCTGCATGTGTGAGTCTGCCTGGGTCTCAGGCTAAACTGAGTGGAGAGGAGGGTGGAGACTGGAGTTCACAGGGATGAATCTGCAGGTGTGTGGGGGTCGATTCTGTTGGGATGGGAGAATGGTAATGTCTGGCTAGCAGGTGTCTCAGGGCAGGACTCAGGGATACAGAAAGGCTGTGGAATGTCTCTGTGTTAACCCTGGAGTATTGGATGTTGAAACTGCCAACATGTGGAAGTGAGTGGAGGTGTGTGTGTGTGTCTAAGGGGGGGATGCACTCACTCACCTACTCAATCAACATCCACTCAACACCAGAACTTTCCCACCCTCCTAGAACTGCATTCAGAGAAGACAGCAACAAACAGGAAACATGGCTGATAAGTGATACAAAAAAGAGAGAGAGAGAAAGGAAGAAAGTGAACGGGGGGGGGGGGGGGGGGGGTTGGCTGGGCTGCACTAGAGAGCTACTGTGACTAAGGATCAAGTTTGTCCTGCATGGTCCATCTGGTAGCTAGCCCTCCAAACAACCGGGGAGAGAATTGAAGGCAGGGGACACAGTACCTATAGGCTTGTCTTATTCCGTGGACAGAGACGCTGCAGCCAGCTCCAAGCACAACAGGCCACAGATAAGCTCCAAATGGAAACCGGGTAATCAGGGGCCTTGGAGATACAGGAAGCCCTTGGTTTTTATACTTGCAATGAGAAGCCATTGTTTCTAAGCAGCAGACTAGAATGAGCTGCATTATTACCGGTATCTATGGAGCACGGGGATGAGTCAGGGTTAGGAGGAGCGGAAGCAGAAAGGCCTGTGGGAAGGTGGCCATCTCTAGTGGAGGGGGGCCCCCTCCTGGACTGGAGAGGCAGCAGTGAAAACGCTCGCTGTGGTCAGATCCATGACTCACTTGGAAAGCAAAGCTGAGGTGACTTTTGAAGAGAGGCCTCACTAATGATACAGGCAAGCAGGTGTGCAGAAAGTGGTGTGGCTGGCCAGTGGTTTGGCTGGTCATGGCTCATGGGTAGTGAGCCGAGAAGCAGGGAGAAATCAGAGCCGGAGATGGAGATGGGAAGTGCATACCTGTAGGACCTGTACATCTGTCTGGATGATGCCAAGAAAGAGTGGAGGAAAGAACGAGGCCTGGGAAGCCTGGGCTCGTTTGGTTAAGAGAAGAAAGCAGCCATTGCAGAAAGTTCAGCCCACAGAGGAGCAGCTCACCACCAAAGCTCTAGGGCACCAGGCCTTGGAGGAAGGGGTCAAGTGCCAGAGGACTTGATAGTGTGGAAGCTGTTTGTTTTGGATTTGGGAGGGGGTTGGTTTTTTTTGTTGTTGTTTTGTTTTTTGAGACAGGGTTTCTCTGTGTAGCTTTGGAGTCTGTCTTGGAACTCACTCTGTAGACCAGGCTGGCCTTGAACTCACAGAGATCCACTCACCTCTGCCTCCCAAGTGCTGGGATTAAAGGCATGTGCCATCACGGCCCGGCCAGTGGAAGCTGTTTGTAACCATGACTAGAATGGTCTCCAAGATGTGATGGAGACACTTGCTGGGAAGAACTGGTAGATGAACAGAGTAAAGCCCACGGGGACAGAGATTGGTTAAACTCTGCCTGAATGTAACTCAGAGTGCTTGGGCATGCATGTTTGCCCATTTCTGGAGCATGTGATCAGCTGTGCGTGAAGATTCACATGTATGAGTGTCTGTGTGAAAGGCATGTCTGTGACTCCAGGAGCCAAAGCTTGGGTATGTGAGTGTCCGGAGGTTGCTTGTATACACAAGCTCTGCCAATCATGGAGGGCCTGCCTCCACTTCTCACTGAACTGGGAGCAGGGGCAGGTAGCAGCGCCAGCCAGCAGGTCTGAGTAGGGTGGGCTCTCTGTGACATAGCCTTGGCTGTCGCCAGTACTGCTGGCTTGTCCTCGTCTTCCTCCTGGCTTTCTCTGTTTTAGAGGGGCAGGGGTGGCCACACCAGGCACGGAGGGAAGACGGAGCAGTTGGGCCCAGCCTCGTCTGGCTTGTTAGTAAAGGTGGGGCTCGTTCCTTGTGCACAAGGACACCCCTACATGCCAGGCGGGGCTGCATTACCACCAGCAGATGACAAGGTCCAGTGAGCCAAGGCACTACCCTGACCAGGCTGTGGGAGTGGAGAAAGGCCTTTCTTTCCACACCCCCTCTAGGCTCAGTCTGCTGTGTCCCTGCTCCTGGCCCTAGCACCTCCCAAACCGGGCCCGATACCCTATCACCAACCAATTCTTAGGGAATCGGGGTGCCTGAGCAAGGCCTTTGCCCCAGGTCCCTGTCATTGCCATGAAGAACACAACCCTCTGCTGGGCCGCCACGGAGCAGGGCAGGGGTGCTGGTCAAGGTGTTGCCTCCCCTCTCCTGTGGCCTCGGGACTTCACCCCTATTCCATCCCCTCTATCCCTTGCATTTTCCACTCATGTGCATTGGGCAGATATGGGCTTGGGAGGGGGTGAGCAGGTGTAGGGGGAGTCTGAGGGGAGGCAAAGTCAGTCTGAGAGCAGGCAAGGGGAAGGGTTGGAAGGAGAGGAACAGTTCCTGTGCTGAGGGGGCCCACAGCTTGGGAATAGGAAGGTTATGTACAAGCGTCTCCATGGGCTCTGTTCCTGCTCTGCCCCGCAGAGGCTGAGGAGCTGTACCAGAAGAGAGTTCTGACAATTACTGGCATCTGTGTGGCTCTGCTGGTCGTGGGCATCGTCTGTGTGGTCGCCTACTGCAAGACCAAGTGAGTGTTACATGCTCAAGCTGAGAGCGGGCCAAGCCCAGTGGGTGGGGCTCCACTATACTCTTGTGAGAACACGCTTTCTCCCTGGACCCACTCTGCTCAGCCCAAGAGCCTACAGCTCCCTGGCCCCAGTAGTCTCGGGGCCTTGCAGCTGTAGCACCAAGTGACAGGCAAAGTGACAGGCAAGTCTTGGTTCAAACCCAACGCTGCTATCTCCCGCAGGACCTTGAGAAAACTGAGGACCCTTCGCCAAGTCCTCATGATGATAAGTCTAGTGTGCACCTCAAAGGACATTGCAGTGGCCTCACTGGAGCTCCCAGCTGCCCTTTGCAGGCTCTCACAGCAAGAGACAAGCCTGGGGGAGAAAAATGGGGCACTAAAGGCCAGGGAAGCGGTTAAGCCATAGGAGTGACATAATTACCGTTATAATTTAGATGGGTAGGGGCTGGAGTGCTGGTGGGCGAGGCCCTGGGCCATGCTGGGCAGGAAGACGTGCAGGGAAGCCTGCCTTCTCAAGACAAAGAGGTGCCTCGATAGCACTGTGCACCCCCACGCTGGAGGTACTGCAAAAAGAGCACAGAGGAGGAAAGATTGGGCTATCTCAGGGCAAGTTGGGGCAGCAGCTGGGGAAGCTGGCAAGGTCACGTCGAAGAGGACAAACGGAAAGACAAGCCAGAGAGGGCAGCCCAGACTGCTCAGAGCAAAAAGCCAGGGTCAGAAAGATTGGGCCGAAACTGAAGATATCTGGAATTCAGATGCCTCCATAAAACCTTGGTGCCAGGCTCCAGATGGTATGGAGCCAACAGACTGTTGAGTGGGGTGGTGCAACGTGTTTGGATCCGGAACGTGAGCCTAGGCAGAGTTACCATTTCAGAGGCTGAGTCTCTGGGTCTGGACTCCTGCTGCCCTACAGATGGGATCTAAGGTCCTGCTGACCGCATCTTGGATGGGACCAGAACCAGAAAGGCTGGGAAGTAAGGAGGGGGTTGGGACTCAGCCCAAGAAAGTAGAGTCCATGAACTGAGGAAAGAAGCACCAGTTCTGGGCCCTGCATTTACTCACGACTGCAGGGAGCCTCTGCAGTGGTGCTAACACTAGGCCCGGCCCCAGGCACACGACTGGGCTCCAAGCATGTTTGTTTTGAGGCAGGGTATCACTATATAGCCCTGACTGCCCTGGGATCCACAGAGATCCCCCTGCCTCCACTATATCTGGCCAGCAAGACCCATTTTTGAAGCCCCTATCCTCAGCTGCAGAGCAGAAGGGCTTGGCCTAGGAAGTGGCATTCAGGCGAGGGCCTAAGGAGAGAGGACATGAGTAGGTGAAGAGTCTGGAGTGCAGGGCAGAACGCTGCAGGATCAGAAGCATGCTGTCCCGGGAAGCAGCCAGCTGGGTAGAGGGAGGCAGCAAGAGACAAGCCTGGGGAGAAAAATGGAATACTGAAGGCCGGGAAGGGTTTGAGCCATAGGAGTGATATAATTACAGTTGCATATGATAATATAATTTACTGAGCATTTATTATGTGTCAGTATACGGGAGTCCCACGGGCCTGGCTCCTGAGTCATAGCATTCTGTTTTATTTTCTTTGTAAAACTTCACTGAAACTGACTGTTCACTGACTTGTGTATTTACTATCCACCTCCCCTACTGGCCCCCAGGCTGCATGAAGCACAGGCCATGTTTACCTTATCTGTTCCAAAGCAGTGTCTGGAACACAGTAAAAACAATTACTAAGCAAATGAGGGAGGTGGGAGGGAGGGAGGGAGGGAGGGAGGGAGGGAGGGAGGGAGGGAGGGAGGGAGGGGCTAGCACAGTGTGAGAGTCACTGATGGGCTTTTTATGGTCAGTGGTCTTTGGGATCGTAAGGGGTTCTAAACTACAGATGGAGGAAGTGGAATGTCCTCATGAACTTCTAGAACTTGCCCAAGGCCACACAGTACAAAGCAATAGGGTTCTGTGCATTGCCCAGCCTCCCTGGAAGGAGAGCCAGGGTATTTCATCCCTTTAAGGGAGCTATGCCAGGCTCACCTATCCTTCCCCTGTGCAGAAAACAGCGGAGGCAGATGCATAACCATCTCCGGCAGAACATGTGTCCAGCCCACCAGAACCGGAGCCTGGCCAATGGGCCCAGCCACCCTCGGCTGGACCCTGAGGAGATCCAGATGGCAGATGTGAGTGGTGTACCCAGACCTGCCCCCCTCTTGGCTCTTGCTGGACAGCTACCTTCTCTGGCTGCAAGGATGGGCCAGGGTGGATGCCACTCAAGCCTATGAGTAGTCAGTCCTGTGTGCCAGGCACCACCTCACCAGGGACCTGGCTTCACTCTGCTCATTTCCATAAGGAAGAATTGAGGTGGGGGGGGCGATTGTCTGGGGCCATCCCTGACCCAACATCAAGTCACATCTTACCCAGTGGGTCACCTCTTAACCTAGAGCTCAGTGCTCATCACTTGCCCTCCCTACCAGGAAAGGGAGCCTCTCTAGTCTCCATCACTAACTCCTCCCAACTTCCTGTCTGTTTTCCCAGTACATCTCCAAAAATGTGCCAGCCACAGACCACGTGATCCGGCGGGAAACTGAGACCACGTTCTCTGGGAGCCACTCCTGCTCACCTTCTCGCCACTGCTCCACAGCCACGCCCACCTCCAGCCACAGGTGAGCAGCACCAGGGCCTGCTAACTCCCGGAGTTTGTCATGCAGCCAGCCACAGCTAGTTGGTGTCTTCTCTTGTGTTTGCACACCGACCACAGCCCACCCGACTCTGCAGGACTGGGGCAACCTGTCCGCACAAGCACATCAGTAATTCCTACAGCTGGAAAAATACCAAGGCGGGGGGCCCTCCGTCCATGGGGAGCGCCGTGCAATAGTCAGAGCCCTTGCTGTTGGCCAGTGAAGCTGGGATCCTGAGGAATGGATAAGGAACGTGGGGGTGGAAGCGTCGCAGCTGGGGGACGTTGGTGACAGGAGAAAAAGAGCCTCTACACGTGGCAACTCACCAACCCCAGGATCCCAGCCTTGCTTCTCCCACTCTCAGGGCTGAAGATCTGTGACACTCCACATCACCCGAGAGTGGAGAGGACAGTGATCGAAGGGACACACAGATGGGATGAAGAACCCAGGGCAGGGTGGCCATGGGAGCACACACCTGCGTTAGGACAGCCTGCCCTTCCTCACCTACCAACTCACGCCTATCTGGTTTTCCCAGACATGAGAGCCACACGTGGAGCCTGGAACGTTCGGACAGCCTGACCTCGGATTCCCAGTCAGGCATCATGCTGTCGTCGGTGGGCACCAGCAAGTGCAACAGCCCGGCATGTGTGGAGGCGCGGGCGAGGAGGGCGGCAGCCTACAGCCAGGAGGAGCGGCGCAGGGCTGCCATGCCACCCTACCACGACTCCATAGACTCCCTGCGTGACTCTCCACACAGTGAGAGGTCAGTTCCTACTGCCCCTTGACTGAACCCCTCCTCGGCTAGAAAGCTGCCACTGCCAACCCAAAGCTGACCCTTCGGGTGCCTCAGAGGCATTGCCAGGAGCCTCATTCAGTATTTCTGTTGGGCAAACAAGGTCTCGGAAAGGTTAAGTGGTCTCCTGGGATTAGAACTGCATCTAGCTCAATAGATCCTGGCTAGAATGACCACATAGGTTGTCCCATTAGGGAACATTAATAACCATACTGAAGCATGGGGGCAAACGGGACTATCCACACATCCAGGACCAAGGTTGTCTGATTCCCCAGTATCACCTAAAGACCTCACATCTCAACAGAAACAGAAAGACACCAAGATCAAGGAGACTAGAGGCTAAGAAAAGAGGTCACTTTCAAGGGCACTGACCCGAGGACAAGGACATAAGCCAAGAATGATCTCAGGGCCTGTCAGCGGCAGCATAAGGGTCCCTGTGCCCAGGGCATTGTTAGGATCCTGAGAAGTCGATAAAGTAAGAACCAGGAAATGTCCTTTTCCCTGGGGCTGGCAAGACTGCTCGGTAGCAAATAAGCTTGTCCACCAAGCCTGGTGGTCTAAGTTTAATTCCTAGAATCCACAAGGTGGAAGGAGAGAGCCAACTCCCACAAGTTGTCCTCTGACCTCCATACGCATGCTGTGGTACACATGTTCACACACACACACACACACACACACACACGAACTAAAGAAACTCCCCTCTTTCCTGACTCCACATCAGGAGTCCTGGGAACTAGGCCCCATCCTGATCCCCTTCCCAGTGGCTGTTAGGCAAGCTAGGTCTGTGAGAAGAAAGCAGAGGAAGGCACACCATGTCAGGAGAGGCTCCAGGTCGGGGAGGAGCAAATTCTACCTCTTTCTGACTCAAATGACTCCATGCCAGGCCTGGGATGATCAAGCATACCAGAGATGGCCTACCTGCTCTTATTCCAAGCGAGGGACAAACCACAGGCACGCTCGGCAGTTTTCACAAGTGCTGAGCACAGACGCCACACTAGGGCCGAGAAACCCGCTCCAGCTACAGGCTCCAAGAAGCACCCAGATTTCCCTCTCCAAGCCCAGGCCCACCGCTCTCTGCATGACCTGGGGCAGGTGCCTCAAAATTTGTTCCTTCAGTGTACGTGTGGGGAACAATATCTGCTATACATGGAGCTCGTAAAGGACCCCAAGATAATGTACCGAGTTCTGCCTCATTCATGCCTGTCTCTATTGTTACCAGTGGTAACCCTGGCACTAGGTAATGTGGAGACCATTGGCAGGGAGATGGGGAAGGGAAGCTTTGCAGACGTGGTGTATCGCTGCAGCTGTTACACTTAAGAGAAACGGGGTGGGCTGTGAGGAGCCATGGAGCTCAATAGGCAGGCTGGGGGCAGAGACAGACCAAGGGCCCTTGGCTTCTGCTTGCTTGGGAGGTGGAGCCTGGGTGGATATATAGGAAGGGCGTCCTTAGCAGAGCTGAGGTTTGGTTGGTTTAGTTGGTTTGGTTTTGGTTGGAAGGGGGGTAGTTTTGTTTTGTTTGCTCTGGGAACTTCCTAGAGTAAAAGAGACCCCACGGTGGTGGCATGACCAGAAAGAACATCTGGCCCAGGCTGGAGAGTGTGCCTCATGAGAGGGAGCGAGTAGGACTTAGCAGCTAATTAGATCTGCATGTGGGCAAGGGGAGAGGGGCAGTCCACTGGTTCTGTAAGAGAGTGAGAAGGACTCTGAGCCAGTTCCAGAGAGCAGTCAGGTACCCGGCAGAGCAGTCTGGAAGAAAGGCATGGTGGTGAGTGATCCCTGTCCTGAAGTGGACAATGGTGGCGGCTGAAGGCTCACAGGGGGATTGTGAAGAGCAAAAAGGAACGTCTGGGGTTATATTAGCAAAAGCAAACTTTTCAAGGAAGTAAGGGGAGTAGAGATCCGTGTTATCTTGGTATCTGTCTGCCCTGACTTGAGGAGCCCACCCAATGTCACTTTCCTGTGGCCGTTTTTTGGCTTCAATACAAGATGTCATTTCCCTCACTCAAGCCAAGCCCTGGGATAAAACTTCCGTGCAAGGGCAGTGAGCTCAAATCCAGGGAGTCTCTAGTGACTAGTGGTTCCTGGAACTAGGCTTACTGGTTCTGCCTAACCTGGATTCAAATGCCAGGGATTCACACTGGTAGGAATTAGCAAAAACAGGCCTTCATGGACCGGGGAGTCATTCGCTCCAAGAAGAGACACCTAGTGGTGTCTTGGTGAAATAGGGAGTTAGTTGATCAGGCCACATCTTGGTTATTATGTAGAATGGATCAGGCCACATCTTGGTCATTACGTCCTTGGCACTTAAATGTCTGAGTCTCTTTATCCTGTGTAGTATGGCCCTCACCCACAAATTCTCCAGAATAGATGAGACCACACGTAAACTACCCCAAGCTAAGCACGCCCCAGACACTGTGAGCATCCCTACAACAAATGACCACTTACGGATGCTTATCGAAAACAGACACTGGGCTAGGGTACTTCCCTAGTACATTTCCTAAATCGTCCAGAATCACACTGGAGTAAACACTATAGTTATCTATGGTTAACAGACGAAAACAGGCTGGGAGGGATCATGGAAACTGACCGTGGTCACAGCCACAGCCTTCACTCTTACGGACAGGGTCTTTTCTGGTTGGCATCTCTGGCCCTGCACCCAGATTCCCCGACCCACGCTTCTGTCTCTCCCGCAGGTACGTGTCGGCCCTGACCACGCCCGCGCGCCTCTCGCCCGTGGACTTCCACTACTCGCTGGCCACGCAGGTGCCGACTTTCGAGATCACGTCGCCCAACTCTGCGCATGCCGTGTCGCTGCCGCCCGCCGCGCCCATCAGCTACCGCCTGGCGGAGCAGCAGCCGCTCCTGCGGCACCCGGCGCCGCCGGGCCCCGGGCCGGGGTCCGGCGCGGACATGCAGCGCAGCTACGACAGCTACTACTACCCCGCGGCGGGGCCCGGACCGCGGCGCAGCGCCTGCGCGCTGGGCGGCAGCTTGGGCAGCCTGCCCGCCAGCCCCTTCCGCATCCCGGAGGACGACGAGTACGAGACCACGCAGGAGTGCGCGCCCCCGCCGCCGCCGCCGCCGCCGCCGCCGCCGCCGCGGCCGCGCACGCGCGGCGCGTCCCGCAGGACGTCAGCGGGGCCGCGGCGCTGGCGGCGCTCGCGCCTCAACGGGTTGGCGGCGCAGCGCGCACGCGCGGCGCGGGACTCGCTGTCGGTGAGCAGCGGCTCGGGCTGCGGCTCGGCGTCGGCCTCGGACGACGACGCGGACGACGCGGACGGGGCGCTGGCGGCCGAGAGCACGCCTTTCCTCGGCCTGCGAGCGGCGCACGACGCGCTGCGCTCGGACTCGCCGCCGCTGTGCCCGGCGGCCGACAGCAGGACTTACTACTCCCTGGACAGCCACAGCACGCGCGCCAGCAGCAGACACAGCCGTGGGCCGCCCACGAGGGCCAAGCAGGACTCGGGGCCCCTCTAGGGCCCCACCCCCGCCTCGCCCGCCCCAAGTCTCCAAGGAGAGCGGAGACCACCGACTGGAGAGGGAATAGGAGCGAACAAAGAAATAAAAATATTTTTATTTTCTATAAAAAGGAAAAAAGTATAACAAAATGTTTTATTTTCATTTTAGCAAAAAAAAAATTGTCTTATAATACTAGCTAACGGCAAAGACGTTTTTATAGGGAAACTATTTATATGTAACATCCTGATTTACAGCTTCGGAAAAAAAAAAGAAACAACAAAAAAAAAAAGAGAGATGGGCCAATTTTTTGACTCTTTAATAGAAACCTATATTGTGGTGCCTTTTGCTGTACGCTAATCTGGGGCTCCTGGAGAGTCGTCTGGGGTGCAGGGTGGGGATGGGCGCTTGTAGGATCCCAAACCAGTGGGGGTGAGAAAAGGCAGGGAAAGAAGAGACAGACCGAGGTTCTAATGTCCCTGAGGCTAGTGGACAGCGAGGAAGAACGTGAAGACAAGGCAGTTTTATCTTCCCCAGTCCAAATCTGGAGTCCTGGGCAGAGAGAGCAGGGATCCTAAGCTTACAGCTGGAATTGAGGTCGGGTTACTTCCAGGGGGAGACACAGGCCCCCCACTACAGCAACTAGAATGGGGAGGGGTCCTCCCCGCTCCTCACCGCTGCTAAGGGAAAGAGGACAGAGAAGGCGGTCTCCCCACCAGCCCCCGGCCTAGGGAGGGGGCAGCTCTACCAGGGGCCCAACCTTCACGGCTCCTCCTCCCCTGCGGCCTCCAGGATACCCTCTGTCCTCTGCAGCACCTTCGTTTACAGGCCGTCTTTTCTATTTTACGCCTGCATGTCCTTTGCATTTCAGATTCTTTAGATTGAATGCATGGTCACGCTGGGACCCAGAAGAGCCACTCCGACAGTGTATTCGATTCCCCTTTTAGCAATAAAGTAACACCATGTCCTCACAGCCCAGCCCCCACCCCACCTATGACTTCCATCCTCCAGTCCTGCCCTCCCCGGCCCTCACAACTGGATCCAATGCTAATTTGTCAAAAATGGCAATTGTCTAAAAAAAACAGACAAGAAAAAAAAATCCCAAACAGGAACAAACGGGAAATCCTGACATGTCCAAACACCTGACTGTTGACACTTGAACATTTTTATATTATAAATAAAATCAGAAATAATTCCTGTTTGACTGTGTGTACCTGGCCCCAGGTGAGGAGGGTAGATAGAATCAGGACCTGGGATAAGGCATGTGGGTACTGAATAAAGATTGGAGAGGGCCAGGGCAGTCCCTGAGCGGAAGTGACCCTCTCTCCAGTTCCGCTGGCCCCAGCTCCAAGGACCTGCTCCAAGTCTTCCTTCCAAATCATTTATAAGGTGTCCCCCCTGGGTGCTGGGAAACCCAGCCAAGGGATTGACGCAAATTGTTGTGCTTTAAACTCAGCCTCAGAACTCTGGCCCAGTCCCTGCCCTGGAGCTAGGGAGCTGGATTGAGGCAACAGTTTCCCGCCCAGGTGGGTGAAGAGGGAAGAAAAGGGCTGTGGGGTTGGCACCGGGGCAGCGGAGGTAAAGATGACCCTTGGGGCCTCAGGCACGTCACAGGCAGAGTCTGGACATGTAAGACAGTATAATGGGTACCCTCATTGCCAGAAGGACCAGAACAGCTGCAGCTTCGAAGCCCACAGGGTATTGCTCTTTCCCCGATTTAAACCCCCTCAGAGGCAGGGCATGTCTAAACCTGCAGCTCTGATGAAGGTCTGATCTCAGGCATGGAGGAGGCAGATGGAGTCCAGGGTGAAGAGTCTTTCTCATCAGCTACCTAGAATACCAGGAAGCAAGATTCCAGCCTCCTGGAACTGAAGCCTTCTCTCCAAAGAGCTGGGGTGAATGTGTACATGTTTGTGTATGCTTATACACGTTCTCGAAAGGCCCAGCACAGAACTAGACAGGCACTGATAGAGCAGTGGGACCCAGAGGCACAGAGCAACAAGAGGGACGGAATCGAGTGCCAGCTCTGGCCCTCACTAGCTCTGTGCCTTCTCCAAACCACAGTTGCTGCTTAGTGAGAGATGAGGAAGAAATTGTATCCCTCATCAAGTTACTGTGGTGGCCACATGCAGATGGACCCAGCGCTGCTCCTGACAGATGGCTGGACGATGGCCACCTTGAAGGGGGTGGTGACAGAATCCTGAGCCTCTCTTGAATCACAAAGTGGCAAAAACTCGATGAGGTGATGATTAAGAAAAGTTTAAATTTATGAAGTCATTATATTCGTTGAGGGATGCTGAGGGGGCACGTACTACAAAGGGGGAAAAATGAAAGAAAAATTACTGGGCTGAATGTTACACAAACCTGTAGATCATGGACCTCTTCCAGGCCCCAGGAAATGATCTCATTAGATCCCTCTGATATCGTTTGCTGTTGTCTTGAGAGCTTTCTTAGGGCCATAATCCTTACGTGTGACCTCTGATCTCTATGGGACCCCAAATTCACTGCTCTGACCTCTTGGTGAACCCACTGGTCAGATCTTATTCCGATCCAGGTTAGAGCCCTCACTTAGCCTCTCTGAGGGCTTTAAGTTGTTGCCTTCTAGGTTTTCATTCAGAAACCACCTTTATGACTCAGATGAATTTTCCTATCTGTATATGACCCCGGTTGACTTCAAGTAACCACTTAGTGAACTTGTACCTGACCCCATTTTGTTCGCTCAGCATCTGCCCTGGAGTCTAAGATACCTGCCAAGAGTCCAAGGCCAGAACTTAACCTAGTTCCTCAGCTCTCTCCTCATGGCATCAGCCACCTAGAAAATGGACATGTATGGTTGGGACTCAGGAGCATGCTTGACCAGAGAGACCCTCTTGCCCACTCTGCCTCTCAGGTTTCAGCCTTGGGGGAAACTGAGTGTGTGGCCCCTCAGGAAGCATTGCAATCACGTTAAGCAACTTCCCTTCCACCACCCTGTCCCCTGGAACACTCAGGACATTCAGGCAGCTTCCTAGGTCAAAGTTCTCTTCCCTGTTCCCCAAATTCTTTACTTTGTAGTACCACTTTTAGTGTCTCTCCCCAGCCCCTCTCAGTGTCCTCCGTGGCAATGATAACCACTTCTCACCCAGACTTCCCCATAACTGTGAGACCCGCGAAGACAGGGAACTGACCTCTTTAACCACCGTCCCTAGCACCCAGCAACAGTGTATGGCACATGGTTGTCCCTCACTGAGGGGGTCGAAGGCTATCGTCAAGAGTTAGCCATCAGGAGGAGTTCCTGAGCCCTGGACAACTTCCCAGAACCTCTAGATGGAGCAGACCACTTACTGCGTTTTGTCAGGCCCTGGATTGGACTAATCCTTATGGGCATGTTAGGGGCAACGGTTAGGGAAGAGGAATGTGATGGTCTGTTAGAAGGCAGGAAAAAAATATTAGAACTTTGATTTAGATTTATTTTCGTCTCATCTTTTTTTAAATTTCTATTTTTGTGTATGTTTTATAATGTACATAATATTTTAGTACAGTAGTACATGTATATAATTTACAAATAAAGAATTATACAATTAAGGAAGCGAACTAAAAAAATGTCTTTACTGATGGGAAGCGTGACTAGTGTTGGGGGAAACCGCGCGTGTCTGTGGCTAATGAGCTTGCACCTCTGCCCTCGCCCCCACCCCCAGGACACAGAGAGTGAGACACTGGCCTGAAAATCAAAGGACCCTCAGGCAGCTGGACAAAAGACTGAGGTCTCTTTATGGGCCCTAAATGGCCTTTCTGATCTCATTCAAATGAGCATTTACTCCCCTGAGCAAAACAAAGGGGCCAGATGGTTTGGTTATAATACACACTTCAGCTAATCCAATTTGAACAATTTGGATTTAAAACCCCTTACGCCTCTCCACATACTCACAGCTCCCCACATCCAATGGGAGTGGACCTTAAATGTTAGGCGCTTAGTCGCAAGGCTTATGTCACCAAAGAGGTCAAACTGTTGGCCAAACAATAGGAAAGACTGCCTCATGGTAGCTGTGTTGAGAGGGCCATCGGCCCCGCCCCCCCCGCCACCGCCAACTCACTTGTTGGTCTATGTGATGCAAGGTTTAAAGGATGTCAACCTGTGATGTGTCTCTATTCTCGCTTCCTCCTCCACCTTACTCTATCATCCAGCCTGGGCTTGCTGGCAGGTGGCACTCCACAAGGTAGAATGTCCTTCATTCCTGCCAGCAGGTCTGCGTAGAGGCCACGCTGGAGCTCAGCGACCTCGGCAGCATCCACAAGAAGATCCAAACAGACAGAGGTGTGTGCTCCTGAGCCATCAGCCCACAGGACACCCTTGGGACAGAGGAGGTGACCCGCATATCCTGTTTAGCCCCAAAGCATCAACTGGAAAACTGACTGTGAATCACAAGTCAGCCGGAAGAGGAAAAGGCAAAAACACAGAGGGTCGTCTTCTTTTCATCCAGAGTGTCAGGGCGGCGGAGGGCCCCATAGCAGGCTTCCTTGCTAGCAGGCCGAGCTCTGAGATGAGCTTATTTCATCCTCTAATTGGTAGTAGTTCTCAAACTTTCTTTCAATGAGTTCTTTATATATATATATATAATTTATATGTGTCCATATAAAAAAGAGGCAGGAGAGGCCTCAGTGGATAAAAGGAGAGGTGAGCATACACGTGAGCGGAATCAGCTTGGCACTGAGTGGAGGCTAGGCCTCAGATTATTGCAATGTGAGGCCGGAGAACTGGACCGGTTGCAAAGGTTGCTGGGAAAAGGAAAGGAGAAGGCGTTGCTGGTGGTCCATAGACCTGCTGCTGCTGGTCAACTGAGAGGAAAGAGGAGACAGGGTAGGTGTCCAAGCTTAGACCCAGAGTTCAGACCCATCCTCACAAACACAAGATGAGGGAGAAGCTTGATGAGAAAGGGCCGGGGGAAGCAGCAGAGACGGACTTCTCCAGTTGGCAGCCCTGGAGCATGTCTGACCTGCAAAGCCAGGTCCCATGACTTGAGGGCAGCCAGGGCTAGGAGAGATTCTAGGCCAGAGGTGGCCCAGAATGGGAGAAGATCAGCGCCATGAATGGTATCTCCTTGATCGTGAGGCTCTCCGTACCCCCGTGGTTGCCGGTTAACTGCCTGGAGCTTGGTCCAAGCAGCCTCTGGCTGGAATTGTGCTCACTGACCCCTCTGGGGACATTTGCCTGCCTCCAGGGCCTGCACAGCCACACCAGCTAAGTATCAGGCGTAGAGGCATCCTTGGTGGCTTTGCTGCCAGTCACAGGCCCGTGGCCCAGGCTGAGGGCAGGGCTTGAGTGTGTTTTCCGGAGAGCTGGGTCATCCCCTTCTAGAGTAGCCAGCCGGGCCTCGATCCGCTCCAGGTCATCTGAACCCACTTTGATTTTCACAGCCAGGAGATGGATATAGGTCTCATAACGGCTTTTCTAGGAAAAGGGCAGACAAAAGCCAAAAATAAAGTCAAAAGAGATGCGACAAAATGGAGGTGGGGGATCCATTTCAGAAAACTAGTAGCAAAGCATTGACTTCCGTGGTACTCAGGGAGCTCTTGTAATCTAGAAAAAGGAAATAGACTATCCAATAGAAGACAGGCAGACTGCATCACAGAAATCTCACTCATACATTTTTTATCTCACTATGTATCCCTGGCTGGCCTGGAACCACTGCAAACCAGACTGACCTTGAACTTGCAGTGATCCTCCTGCCTCAGCTTCCTGAGTACTGGGGTTATTGTCATGCCCCACAACGCCCAGCTTCTCACTTATACCTTGAAAATCCAAATACCGTCAATGCTGTCTTAGATATATAAAGGCAAAAATGGACAATTGGGACTGCGTTGATGTTTAAAACTTCTGTGCTTTGAAGGATAAGGAAATTATATTTAATGAGCACAGAGCTGCCCTTTGGGGAGAGAGGGAAATCTGGAGACTGGTGCAATGTGAAGAAAGCTACTGAGTTACTCACTTAAAGGCAATCAAGATGGCACCATTTTGTTCTGTGTCGCCACAATTACAATTTTTAAAAAGGGATGGCTCAGCAGTTAAGAGAGCTTGCCATTCACGCAGAGGACCCGAGTTCAGGTCTCAGCGTCCGTATTAGGCAGCTCACAATAGCCTGTAACTCTAGCACCCGGGGATCTGATCCTCTCTCCTGGCCGTCACAGGCATCAACAAACGAGTATGCAGAATGCACACAGGCACGCATAAATAAAAAGAAATATTTTTAATTAATAACATAAAATGTAAATTAAGATAGTAATGAGACACTGATGGTTAAACTTGTGAGGTCGATGAAGATTAAAGCATTTCCGAATGCCCAGTGTTGGTAAGGGCGTGAAGAAATGGGTGTATGCATAAACACTTTAAAAGGGATGTAAGTTGCCATCAACATTTAGGAAGGGGACCTAGCGGTGTCTGAGCACCTTGACTCTGAGCCTCAGGCCTTCTCCACCATCAGGGGAGCCTTTTCCCCAAGTTCTGCCCATGTCCTCTCCACCCACATCAAGCCAAGGAAGAGAGGACTCGGATGCCAGAGTTGTAGCCATCTCCTGGTTAGGATCCTGGGTCCTGTTCTTCCTAGGTATGTCACCTCAGGCCAGTGCTCTGCCTTCTCTGAACATCAGTTTACCTTTCTGTCAAATGGGTACAGTCATAGAAACCCTTTCACAGCATTGACATGAAGGTGAACTCAGCCCATGCAAGGAAGGGAAGAGCGCCAGGCCTCGCCCTGAGCAAGCCCACGACACCTGCTGTCATAGCTATTCTCACATTGCAGGGTAGATAGATGTTAGGGGCTCCTGGAGAGACCCAGGCATAGGCAAAACTGATCAATATTTGACAGCCAGACTGTGCAAGACTGACCACAGGACACTGTGGCTTACACCTGCCTAAGAGAGTCCCACAATAGGAGAGTCTCAAACTAGAGTCCCTGGCATGTCGATGTTGATGGCAGGAAGTGGAGGGTGGGGGCTGGCCTCCTCCTCTGGCCCCAGCTTTGACCTCTGCCATGCACCTCCCAAGACCTACCTCAAACGTGAGATAATGTTCCTTCAGCCGGTATTCCTCCGCCTCCTTGGACTTGAGGCCTCTCTCCACTGGATGACATCTGTGCTCAGCCAGCTCTGCAGTCACCTGCCTCAACTTATTCTCATGAGACCGAAGCTGCTCCTCCTGCAAAGACAAGCCCAGGTCTGTGAGGTCTGGAATGTCTGTCCCAGGAGTGGGCTAACCCACCCCCCTGGAAGCGGTTTCGCCAAAGAGAAATTGGTGCTGACCAGAGTCCTCAAATTCATACACAGGTGCAGAGGTAGGCTCTAGATATGACTGCTCCTTCCAGCTTCCTCTTTCCTCCCTCCTCACAGGGACATCAGCCCTCCTCAGTGCCCAGCAGGCTCAGGAGATAAGATGGCTTTACATTTGCATGTGAGTATACGCACTGGGAAACAGACACCACCACTGCAGCCCCTTGCATAGAATTCCACATGCGCACCCAAGCATGCTGGGCCAAGGGTCAGCCCGGCCCCAGTTATCCCTACTTCTGTGTAGCACATACATCGTCTCACAACCGTTCTCAGATATGCATGACAGTTGCAGATCCAGATCCCACCTAAAGGTAGACTTGGCACTGACAGGCCAGGGCACACACATCCTACTCATCACAGTGAGGAGGCCCTTTGAGCAATCTGCATGCATGCATGGATGAGTGGATACACCTGTGGTGCAGGCAAAGAGGGGTGCATGTGGGCATATGTGTGCTCATGTGATGTGTGTGTGTGTACATGGTGTGTGTCTGTGTTCACTGTGCACACACACAGAGAGAAGCTTTATACAGACACAGGATGCCCTGAAGCTCTGTGGAGAGATAAAGGCCCTGATAGAAAGGGGCCAATGACTGAAGGAGGAAGTTTGCAGCTTGCCAGTCCTCTGTTCTCAAGTTCTGGTCCATCTTTTATGCTTTCCTGTCCAAAGTACCCTGAGAATCTGTAGTGTTAGTAAGATGGGGTTTTCATAGCAATATAACTAAGCTATTTAAAGATAAAAAAGAATATTGTCCTGGCTATTTTACATCAGTTCGACACAACCCAGAGTTATCTAAAAGGAGGGAAACTCAACTGAGAAAATGCTTCCACAAGATCCAGCTGTAGGGTATTTTCTTTATTAGTAATTGATAGAGGAGGGCCCAGCCCGTTGTGGATGGTGCCATCCCTGGGCTGGTGGTCCTGGGTTCTATAAGAAAGCAGGCTGAGCAAGCCACAGGAAGCAAGCCAATAAGCAGCACCCCTCCACAGCCCGTGCATCAGCTCCTGCTCCAGGATCCTGCTCTCGCTGCTTTTGATGATGAACTGTTTGTTCTATGGAACTGTGAGTGAAATAAACCCTTCCCTCCCCAACTTGCTTTTGGTCATGGTGTTTCATCACGGCAAGAGTAACCCTAAGACAAATGTCAATACTGGACTGTTTCTAAAAAGTGAAAAATAGGAACTAGACAGATGGCCCCACGGTTAAGAGTGCTGGCTTCTCTCCCAGAGGACCTGGGTTCAATTCCCAGCACCCACATGTTGGCTCACAACCATCTGCAACCCCAGTTCCTAGAGATCTTATACCCTCATCTGGCCTCTACAGGCACCAGGCACATGCAAGGGACACAGACATACATGCAGGAAAAACACCCATGCACATAAAATAAAATAAATGAAGTCTCAAAAAATGTTTTATAAGAAGAGTGGAACACAAAGCTTGTGAAGGCTGGAGGAATGGAACCCTCCTCACACACTGTGGTGGAACTGTGAATTAGTGAGTGCGTTTACTGAGGAGACTATGGATGGAAGTCAACGAGAAACCAGAAGTAGAGAAGGCCAAGAGATAGCCCAGCGCATGAACTGCTTGCTGAGCAAGTCTGACAACCTGAATTAGATCCCAGAACCCATGGAAAGGTAGAGGAGGGCGCAGACTCTGACATCCACCATACCGTGCCGTGCCGTGTGTGCCCCACCCCCAACACATCATACACAAACAAAACAATAAATGAAATTAAACAAAAGCTACCATATGCTCCAACTGTGCCATTCCTGGGAATACACCCAAAGGAATCCATGTCAGCACACCACAGCAATCCCTGCACACCCATGCGTCCTGCAGCACTGTTCACAACAGCCAAGTGACAGAGTCAGCCTGGCTGTCTATCAACAGATGAATGGATACAGAAAATGTAGTGTATATACATGTGAAGTTTTATTCAGCCATAAAGAATGAAATAATGGGGGCTGAAGAGGTAGCTCAAGAGTTAGGACCCTTTACTGCTCTTCCAGAGGAACCAGGTTCAGTTCCCAGCACTCACACCAGGTAGGAGATCACAACTGCCTGTTACCCCAGTTCCAGGGAATCTGATGCCCTCTTCTGGCCTCTGTGGGCACCTGCACACATGTGGTACAGATAAATTCACACAGGAACATACACACTATACATACATTTTGAAATAAAAATGAAACTGTGTCATTTATAAGAACATTGAGGGGACTGGAGAGATGGCTCAGTGGTTAAGAACACCAACTGCTCTTCCAGAGGTCCTGAGTTCAATTCCCAGCAACCACATGGTAGCTCACAACCATCTGTAATGAGATCTGGTGCCCTCTTCTGGCCTGCAGGGACACATGCAGGCAGAATACTGTATACATAATAAATAAATAAATCTTTAAAAAAAAAAAAGAAAGAAAATTGGTAGAACTAAAGATCATGTTAAGCAGGATGTGACATACACACACACATGCACACATATGCACAATGCACACATGCACATATACACACATGTGCACATACATGCCACATACACACACGTACACACATGCACACATACACACATGCATAAATGCACATGTACACACACATACACGCACACATAAAATAAACCTTCAAACAATCAAATAGAGCACTGGATGAAGAGTTAGCCAAGTCTCACCTGTCCCTTTACCACATACAGCCTCTCAGTTCACGCCACAGACCCACACAGCTGCACTGCCTCTGTCAGGGAAGCTTGCCCATGCCACCCATCATAGAACTGTCCGGCCTCCGTGTGCCGTGTCTGTGGGGGTCTCCATCTTCCCACCTGTGAGTGGGGGATGGGGTGGGAGAATAGCTCTCCTTCCCTGGTGTCCCTCAGCCCAGGGCCACATGACCCAGAGAAAGAGCTGAGCGGAGGCCAGCGGCCTAAGCCAGGAGCTTGTACCTGGCAGAGGCGAGTGGTACAGGAGGGCAGCAGGGGTCGACAGAACTTCTTCATGGAGCTGACGGCTGCTGGGAAGGCGGGTGCGGAGAAGATGGCAGCCACGAGGTTGATCCTCAGGATCCAGGACAGCATTTCTTCCTTGCTCCTGGGGACAAACGGTAACATAAAAGGGCTCCGGGTTCTCACGATAGGACCTGCAGCCCTCCCCACACCTGGCATGCCGTACTCAGTATGAAGTCTGGCCGAGAAGGCCCTGGTACCTAGGCAAGGACAGGAAGGAAGGAGGAGGTGGGAGTGGGCAGCTGGGTGGATGAGCCTGGTCAGAACCGGATAGGGAACTCCCATCTGGACTCCCATGAAATAAACCCGCTCCAGTCTGGACTGATGTCCTAGAGCCCGTGAACTCCAGGGTCAGCTGCAGTGAGCAAACCTCTGTCCTGCCCCGCATTCCCACTTGGTCCCCAGTCCTCACACACTAGTCTCCTTCTTGGGAAGCTTGTCTGATATGTGAAAACCCCATTTCTAGTCACAGAGGATGGGGTGCAGCAGAGCAGGCCTTACAGGTCAACGGTAGAGGGAGTCCTTCCCCCAAAACCTCTGAGTCTCTGTCAAGGGTTGAGGCGGGGTCTATCATCCCAACCTTCAGGACTCCAGCATGCACCTGCAGCCCCTGCAGGCTTCTCGGACCCAGTCTGACTCTGTGGGCCTAAGATGGGGCAATGAGGTAGCATCTCTACCCAGCTTCCAGGTGACAGAGAGGACCACACTGAGAACAGCTGCTCTGGAAGACTTGAAGCAGACACACCAAGTCTGTGGCCGTCGGCACAGGCAGCTGAGGTGTGCACCCTGAGACCAAGAGGGTGGAGCTCGCGGGACTGATGGTGCAGGCGACTTGGCTCTGCTCCTACTTACGGGGCCTGGAAGAGGAAGACCCTCCAGTCTGCCGTCTTCAGCTTGAGCACGTTGGACTTCTTACTGTAGTCAGAAGCCCTGGTGGCCAGAGCATGATGCACACGGATGGCATTCTTCAAGTCACCCTCAGACAGAGCCTTGTCGGGCCTGTACTCATCCTGAGTGAGGTGCGGAGTGTCACTCCAGGCTGTGGCTTACTGCCCCACACATCCCGTCGTCATCTCCCTCCCTCCCTCTCACTCTCCTCTGCATCACCTCTACCCTCCCAGACCTCCACAAGAATCACTCCATGTACTCCCCACTCACACCCCACTCTGTCCCAGAGGCCTAAGACTAATCCACTTGGCATTTCAGAGTCCATTTCCCAAAACCCTCAAAGCTCCTGAGTGAGTCCAGGTCAGACCCTTAATAGAAGAAAGCCGGGACTCCTCTCTAGGCCCATCCTGGCCAGAAGACCCTGAGTTGGGTACCACAGGAAGGGGCTGGATGAGACTGAGCAAGCCCTTTCTAGGTAAGGGCTCTGGAGCAGCCTCCCTCCCTCTCACCTTCTGCAAGTACAGGATGGTCCCTTTGAGCACCGCATAGAACTTCTTCCAGCCACGCCTCCCACGGGGTGCTGAGGACGGAAAAAGGCACAGGTAGTGTGGCTGCAACCTTCTGCCTCAGTAACTCCTACCATGCCACCCCCTGCATGTCCACCTTCACGTGTGTCCCCAAAGGAATGGCCAAGGGTGGGTCCCTCCTACACCAGCATCCCTCCCAGGCCCCTTCCCCAGCCTGACACCCACTCCTCTTGCCGTCCATGTCAGCATGAGTCTTCCGAGTCAGCACGCCATGTTTGTAGGTGGTAGCGCTGAGGGCCTGCGGGATATCCAGGAATGGATTGCCACCATCCAAGATCCGAGTCACCTTCTTTGTGCCTGTCCCAAACTTGTCATCCACCAGCTCAGACAGGGATTTTCTCAGCTCATTCTCATCACTAGGAAGGTACCAGACCTGAGAGCCGCCTCCTGAGAGGCCCTGCCCCCACCCCTTGCCACAGCCTTTCCCATCAGCCACCCCTCTGGTATCAAGGTTGGAGACAAAATACAGCTCCAGGGATCTGACCCCTCCCCTTCACCTTCAGCCCTGACCTTCGATGTCTGTTCTTTGATTCAGGGTCTCTAAGCTAATCTTCACCTTTAACATAGAGTTGGAGACTTTCTTCAAGTCTCCTTCCCCCAATCTTCCTGCTCCTCTCCAGCCCCAGGAGCACTAGCCCCCTGCAGACAGAAGCTGTTGCACAAGCCATGCCAACGTGCTGGAAATAGTAGAACCATGGGGCAAGCCCCTGAAGTCCCAGCCTACCATGGGAGCCCTGGTAGAATAGTACCAGTTCTCTGCAGGGTTAGCGTCCCTGAGACTTAGGCCTCCACACATACCCAAAGGCACAATCTTCTCTGGGGAGCTAAGCCATGGGGCTCCCTCCAGAGCCTCTCACAACTTCACCAACCAGCAACACCTCCATCCCTCTTTGCTGATGGTTGTGCACAGCCTTCATAGGTGAAGAAGTTGGAGCATTCACCCCTTCCCACTGCCAAAAGCACAAACATCTTCATACTGCTAGTGCTGTAGGGGACCTGTGCCTCCTGCCCTCCTGCTTCCCGAAAGGGAGAAAGCTGTCATTGATTGGGCACTCCACAATAGTCTCAGTACAGAAAAAAAAACCAGTCACAGACACTCATAGAACTAAATTCATGGTTGGATCTATTCTACAGCAATGTAAACTTTGCACACCTGTAATCAAGTCAAAAAATGAGCCCATAAGGGTGTTGCCGGCTGGGTAGGGGTTGTCAGGGGCCTGGGTCAGGATAAATCAGCACCATGGAGAGTGGTTGGCAAGCCCAGCCACTCCCTCTCCTGGTAGCCAACCTCACAAACCCACTCCCTTGATCACTACTCACATGGCCCATTCCAGCTTTTCGTTCTTGATGGAGTTGTAAAGCGTCTGAATCCGGGTGGAGAAAAGGAAGGGAGGGAGAAAGTAGTTAAGGTAGAGAGAGAAATCCCCATGTCTCTCCTCAATGCGGCTGTAGCAGGGGAGCACCTCTGCCTTAATGGGTAAAGCTTGACTCACACTTGTGTGATGTCAGTTGATGAATAAATGAGTGGATAGGTGGGTGTATGGATGGGTGATGTTTCGTTATGCAGTCATTACTGTCTGTCTAGCCAGGAGATTGTAAGCTTCCCAAGGTCAATAATGTCTATCTTGTACACCACTGAATCCTCAATACAAAGTTTAGAATGTCACAGGATGGGTGGATAGATGGGATGTTGGGAAGTAAATGGGTGGATGTCAGATGGATTAGTGGTTGGTATATGAGTGTTTGGAGGGCTGGAAATGTAGCTCATTTGATAGATTGCTTATCTAGTGTTCATGAAGCTGTGGATTTGATGGCCAGAACCACATAAAACCAGCACAGTAGCACATCCCCAGTACTTGGAAAGTAGAGGCAAGGGGACCAGAAACTCAAGGTCATCTTCAGCAACACAGTGAGTTGAAGGCCATTCTGAGATACATGGAAAAAAGCAGTAGCTTTGGGGAGCACAGGAATGGGTGAAAGGTGAATGGGTAGGTACATAGGTAGGTAAACGGTTATATGGCTGGGCAGATGGGTGCATCCATGCACAAGGAATGTATGGGTAGGTAGAGAAGTAGGTAAACGATGGATAAGTAGATTGAGAAAAGTGAATGGATGGGTGATGATTTAATCTTGTTTTGTTTGGTTGTTGGTTTTTTTGGTTTGGTTTGGGGTTTTGGGGGGGTTGTTTTGTTTTGTTTTTTGGACACAGGGTTTCTCTGTGTATCCCTGCCTGTCCTGGAACTCCCTCTGTAGACCAGGCTGGCCTGAACTCAGAGGTCTACCTGCCTCTGCCTCCCAAGTGCTGGGATTAAAGGTGTGTGCCACCACCACCTGGCTTGATCTTAAAGATGTGTTCTCAACAGATACTTCTTGATGGATAATTATAGCAAAAAGAGAGATAAAGACAATGTTCTCTTTTAGTTTTTGTAACTGACATATAATAATTATACATATCTTCCCTTAGATTCATCATTCAATTCCCTTCTAGCATCATAAGGAAATTAAAAGAGTATCTAAAAATGAACTCATCATCTATGCATACCCCAAAAATAAATTTGCTCTTCTTTATCTAAGGCCAAAACTTCACCCTGGGCCTCAGCCTCAAAAGAAAACTAATTTCTTTCATTGCTGGTGATGGAGGAAGAAGTGAGCCTTTTCCTGTGGTTATGGTGGTGGTGGTGGTGGTGGTGGTGGTGGTGGTGGTGGTGGTGGTATGGTGGTGGTGGTATGGTGGTGGTGGTGGTGGTATGGTGGTGGTGGTATGGTGGTGGTGGTGTGGTGGTATGGTGGTGGTGGTATGGTGGTGGTGGTATGGTGGTGGTGGTGGTGGTGGTGGTGATGGTGGTGGTGGTGGTATGGTGGTGGTGGTATGGTGGTGGTGGTGGTGGTGGTGGTGGTATGGTGGTGGTGGTGGTGGTGGTGGTGGTGGTGGTGGTGGTGATGGTGGTGGTGGTGGTGGTATGGTGGTGGTGGTGGTGGTGGTGGTGGTGGTGGTGGTGGTGGTGGTGGTGGTGATGGTGGTGGTGGTGGTGGTATGGTGGTGGTGGTGGTGGTGGTGGTGGTATGGTGGTGGTGGTATGGTGGTGGTGGTGGTGGTGGTGAGTGGCAGCCATAACAATTGGTGGTAGTGATGGCTATTGCTGTGGTAGAAATGGTGGTGACTGGAGCACCAAAATCCGAGTGCAGAGAGCCTCACTGTCTCTTTCTTGGAGAAGACGGAACAGTCAACTGAGGAACTAAGCAGTCTCCAACTGTGTCCCAGGGTGATGGGCCCTGGTGGCAGTGCTGTGGGTCTAGAATGTCAAGACTTGGTGGGGCAGGGCAGGGGCATGAGGACGTCAGCAGATAATACCTTCAACAGGTCTTTGGCAAAGTCTTGGCCATCATTCAGCTGGTCCAAGTTGGCAATGAATTGCTGGCAGGACATCTTCTTGCCAATGTTCTGTCATGGAGAAATGGTTCTGCCTGAGAGTAGGGAAGAAGGCTGGTGTGGTCCACACCCCCTGCCCTGCCCGGCCAGACAGGATGAGGCAGCATGGTGGGCAGCAGTGAAGGTAAAACTGCCCGGCTACTCCTTCGTCTCCAAGAATTTACAAAACAGTTTTGCATTCAAAGTCTATTTGATCCACAAGCAACATGAAATTCTGGTTAGCTGAGTGCGCCAGGTGCCTGCTCTGCTCTGGGCATTGTATTGGACATGCATTATCGTATCTTCTTGTCACAAGGTAAGAAGCCTGAAGCATGAGAAGGTGAAGTGGTGTGCGAAGGAAGTGCAAGGGCCCAGTGTGTCTGACATCAAAGCCCATGCTCTCACCCACTCACCCAAGGTCACTCGGAACCAGGACTTGAACCCAGGCCCTTTGGTTCCTGAGCAGCTCTGTATATTCTGCCATATTCTTACCCTCTCACCTGCACAGAGTGGGGTCAGGAAGACCTCCCCAAAGCAGGTCAAGTAAGGAGTTTGGTCTTATGAGATCAAAAATCAATCACCACCAGCACATATGGACAGTCCATAGTGGCACAAAGAGAATCAGGTTCTTGTTGCTATAAGCAAAGAGCTGGGGATGGATGGCTGTACCCCCAAATTCTGTCTTTTGTTAACCTCTCACTAGCAGAAGGGCTCCAGGCTTCCAAGCCCACCACCTGTCATTCACACTTTCAAAGTATCCTTGGAGAAGCCCTGTGAGAGACCCTAGGTCTCTTCAGTGATGGGAGGATTTGTGAGTTGGAGTTTGCTCTAAGGCAATGTTTCCTCACATTTTATTATGGAATGTTAGCATCCCATGACATGGGAATATGTATTTCCTAAAATAAATAAGTAATAAACAAATAAATAAATAAATAAATAAATAAATAAATAAATAAATAAATAAATATTACAGTCCAGCAAATTTATTTTTACACTTCAGAGCCTTGAACATGCTCATGTGTGCATGGATTCTCCAAGGACAGATTTCCATGTGCACTGCCCCAAACTTCTTGATGTTGGCATTACTTTAACAAAGAATCTCTACTAACTTCGTGTAGGGCATTCATATACCACAGAAATAATGTGGAAAGCACTGCTGCAAGGCAATTGTGTGTGTGTGTGTGTGTGTGTGTGTGTGTGTGTGTGTGTGTGTGTGTGTGTGTGTGTGTGTGTGTGTTGGCACAGGGTCTCACCACATCGCAGAGGCTGACCTCAAACTTCAGATCCTCCTGCTTCAGCCTTTCAAATGTTGAGATTATAGATGTGATGGCTAGTTTTTGTCAACTTGACACAAGCTAAAGTTATCTGGGAAGAGGGAACCTCAGCTGAGAAAATGTCCCCATCAGATTGTCGGGTATTTCTTAATTAATGATTGATGTGGGAGGGCCCAGCTCATTGTGAGTAGTTGGACCTCTAGGTAGGTGTGTTATACAACCATTTCCTCCAATATTAAAACATTTCATCACTCAGGGAAGTTCCTTAAGCAGGAAGGTAAACAACTCAAAATAGTTTCAGGAAGTCCCTGAAGCTGACCAGATTCATTAGGCTCCTCCCTGCCAGAGCAAACAAGAAAAGCTGAAAGCCCCTCTCAGATGAAGTCAAGCTGCAAAGACTCTCAAAGAAAGCGCCAAGACTCTTAGGCCAGTCCAGATGCTTGGAAGAAGCAGAAACAGCCAAGCTGCCTAGCAGAGGTTAGACCACCTAAGGCACCTGGAAAGATGCTCTCCAAACTGTTGAGCTGCCTGTAGGCTGTGTGGTGTGCTCCAGGTTCCACACACACTGAGCATTCTCGGCCACTAAGAATACCAAGTCAAAAACTAGCTAGGTAATGGGCTGGGTATGTAGCTCAGTTGATAAGAGTGTCTGCTTAGTTAGTATGTAGGAAGCCTTAGGTTTGACCCATACCACCACCGCATACTAGTATATACCTGTAATCCCAGCACTTGAGGAGGCAGGAAGATCAGAAGTGCAAGGTTATCCTCAGTAGTACAGTCAATTTGAGGCTAGCCTGGGCTATGTATGACTCTGTCTCAAAATAAATAATAATAATAATAATCAGCTTTTTAATCTTAATAATGACATATCCTTATTACAAAGGATACCGTCATAATAAAAAAAAAACTGTTAGGGGTCTGGAGAGATGGTTCAGAGGTTAAGAGCATTTACTGCTCTTCCAGACAACCTGATTTGTCTCAGCATCCACACTGGGTGGTTGACAACCTTCTGTAACTCCAGCATCAAGAAAACTGATGCCCTCTTCTGACCTTCATGGGCATGCACATGTGGCACACATGCATAACGGAACATGTTCATACACCTGAATAAAAATTAGCGGAAGAAGTTTTGGCTGAAGTATTAATGGAACACCTGTGTGAAGGCCCTAGAGAAATACAAAGCAGACATCAAGGCTAAGTTCCTACCAATCCAGGAATGTAGAACCCTGCACTGGGAAACTTTCCTTCTTGAGGCATGGCCCCAATGGCTGAGGAAGCAAGTGATCCCATTAGAGTTCAGAGCCCACCAAGGGCAAGGGTCCCGAGAAATACCCCAGCCATACGTCAACATGAAAAGTGAAACCAAGAAGGGACACGCTATAATGAATTCTTCAGTCAGGAAGAAGATGAGTTCAGATGAAAGCATGGGGAAACAGGAAGTGTGGACAAGTAGGAAGCATGGGGAAACAGGAAGTGTGGACAAGTAGGAAGCATGGGGAAACAGGAAGTGTGGACAAGTAGGAAGCATGGGGAAACAGGAAGTGTGGACAAGTAGGAAGCATGGGGAAACAGGAAGCTGGGTGTTAGTTCCCACAGTGGCAGCCTACCTCGGCTGCCTAGGGAGGTATGTCATCACCTGTCACCAGGCTGTGGAGGCAGGTACGTCATCACCTGTGCCGTTCCACAGACACATGCACTCCCTAACGGTGTCCCCCAGACACAGCTTGCTCTCTGACCTCTCCTGCCTCTCTCATGTCCCCACTCTGAGACGCCCCCCACCCCCACCCCCACCGCCCCACAATGAACCTCTTACACTAACTGTTGCCCGTGGTGTGTTTGCTTAGTGGCATACCTTGGCAGGGCCCGCCGAAAGGTACCCACTTCGCCTTTCACTTTTAAATCATTACACTTGGGGGATCAGGAGGTGTGGAGATGTAGGGAGAGTGGGAAAAAGACAGCATAAGGAAGCAGGAAGCTGGAAGGAGAGGGGAGTGAGAGGAAGCAGGAAGCAGGAAGAAGAATGAAACACGACAAGACAGAAAGCCGAGAGAGTAGTGAACGAACTTAGCTGTCTGCAGGTGCCACGTGGCCCCAGAAGAGGTAAACACACTTTTTTTTTTTTTTTTTTTTTGGTTTTTCGAGACAGGGTTTCTCTGTGTAGCTTTGCGCCTTTTCCTGGAACTCACTTGGTAGCCCACGCTGGCCTCGAACTCACAGAGATACGCCTGGCTCTGCCTCCCGAGTGCTGGGATTAAAGGCGTGTGCCACCACTGCCCGGCGTAAACACACTTTTAACAAGACCGAAATGTACATCATAAACCAAAAAAAGAATTCTGAGGGCTGGGTATGTAGTTCAGTGGTAGAGTACTTGCCTACCATGAGCAAGACCCTGGTTCAAATCCCCAGCACTGCAAAAGGCAGACTTTTTAAAAAAGAATTCTGAGAGAATGCACAACTAAGAAGATAACAAAGGAGGAAAACAGAAATCTAAAAAAACACATAAACAATCTAAAAGTAGACAAGGAAGCAGGAAAAAAGGAAGAATGAGCTGGAGAGATGTGGTGATATTTTATTTGTGCTGAAATGTGATATTTTATTTGTATGTTAATAAATAAAGTTTGCCTGGAGATCAGAGGTCAAAGCGAGCCATAAACAGAATTCAGGCAGGTGGTGGCACACGCCCTTAATCTGATCACAGGGCAGGCAGAGTCTCTGTGTGTTCAAGGACACAGCCAAGCGTGGTGACACAAACCTTTAATCCCAGTACCAACCATAGAGACCTGGAGGTCTGTATAGACAGGCGGTGACGAGGAAGTGATGTGGCTGGGCTTAGAGCCAATGAGAAGGCAGAACAGGAAAGCAATAAAGGTGCAGGTTAGACAGGAAGACTCTCACTTGGGAAGCTATGGTGAGGTGGTGAGCTAAGGTTAGTTGGCGGCTATTGCTCTGATCTCTACGGCTTGCACCTCTGTATTTAGCTCTGTGTTTCTTATTTAATAAGACTTTAGAAATTTGTCTACAGAGAGATGGCTCGGCAGTTAAGAGCAATTCCCAGCACGCACAAGCCAGCTCACAACTCTCTGTAACTCCAGTTCCAGGGCATCTGACACCCTCACACCAATGCATATAAAGTTAAATTATAAAAAAAAGAAAGAACAAATGAATGAAACAGAAAAAAAAGTAACCTGGCTTGTTTGTTTATTTACTTATTGCTTTGTTTGACTCAATCTGTAGCCCAGGCTGGCCTCAAATTCTTGATGATTCTCCTGCCTCAACTTCTTGAGTTCTAGGATTAAAGGCATGTACCAAAACACAAGATTAACCTGGTATATTTAAGTGAAAATACGTCATAATTCATTAAATGGTCAAATTAAAAGGAATTTATCAGAGCTAATATTTGTAAAGTATATGATGCAAGAGCCATACCCTAAATATAAATGAACAGGCATCTTGGAAGAGAAAAGTTAGAAAAGGATACACCATACAACTAACATAACATCTCCAGTACAGATCCACTAATGTCTGTAAGACAGTCCTGAAGCATTAAAAGAGAAAGGGAGTGATGTTTCCATGGTAATGAGAGCATCATTCCCGCAGAAAACATAACCATCGTAAACCAGTGCATACCAAACAGCATGCAGGACACAAAACTTGACAAACGATGACACAGTCATGGTTTTGGTTGCAGATCTTAATACTACTTGTCAGGTCCCAAAGAAACCCGGGACAAGAATCGTTCAGTATCTGTGGCTCCTCCCA